CTCATCACACCCGCCACCACGCCCGGCTAATTTTTTTTGTAAGAGACAGGGTTTCACTGTGTTAGCCAGGATGGTCTCAATCTCCTGACCTCGTGATCCGCCCGCCTTGGCCTCCCAAAGTGCTGGGATTACAGGCGTGAGCCACCGCGCCCGGCCCAAATAGTTATTTGCTAATTCCATCATTCCTTGTACATTTATTAGTTGGCATTCCTCTGTGAGGAAGAGTTTTCCCTTCGCCTCCATTTATTTATTTAGATCACTTTGGACTCCTGGATTCTTTTTTAATTCAAATTCTTTCAATGTATGGTAAAACAAGATGTTCCAGGCTAATATTGTACTTTCCTTGTCCCAGCCCTGCAATCAGCTATTTCTCTAAGGGGCTGTGGTTCCTGTTAGTGGAAAATGGTAATTAGGCAAGAGAAATCAATTACAGCCAGTGTGACTGATTGGAAAACAATAAAGAAAGATATCCCTATTTTCAGATGATATGATTTTGTACCTGGTAAACCCTAGAGAATGAATGATAAAACACTCTAACAATAAAATTATTCAGTAAAATGGAAGGATATAAAATTAACGTAGAGAAATCAATGGCTTTTGTATATATCAACAATAACCAGTGAGAGGATATAAAGACGCATAGTGGCTCACACGTGTAGTCCCAGCTACTTGGGAAGTTGAAGTGGGAGGATCGCTTGAGCCCAGGAGTTCACAGCTGTAGTGTGCGATGATCACGCCTATAAATAGCCACTGCAGTCCAGCTGGGGCAACATAGTGAGATCCCGTCTCTACCAAAAAAAAAAAAGAGATAATGATAAAGGAAACCTCATTTACAATAGCATCAAAGGAAATAATGAGGAAGAAATCTAACAAGAAATGTGAAAAAAATCTGTGTGTGGAACACTTTAAAATGCATCTGTCAAAACCCATTCATCTTTATGGTACAAAAAAAGTTTGTTAATGTATGCAAAATTAAAAAAAAAAAGCAACCAGGAGGTCAGGGGATCCAGTATGGAATGGAGACTGTGACAACATAATTTATATATTACAAATGTAGGCAAGGGCCAGGCATGGTGGCTCATGCCTGTAATCCCAGCACTTTGGGAGGCCGAAGTGGGCAGATCCCTTGCGGCCAGGAGTTTGAGACCAACCTGGCCAACATGGTAAAACCTGTATCTACCAAAAATGCAAAAATTAGACAGGCATGGTGGCACGTGCCCATAATCCCAGCAACTTGGCAGGCTGAGGTAGGAGAATCGCTAGAACCTGGGAGGCAGAGGTTGCAGTGAGCCAAGATCGGGCCACTGAACTCCAGAGCGAGACTCCGTCTCAAACACACACACACACACACACAGTAGGCCTGGTGTGGGGCCTCACGCCTGAAATCCTAGCACTTTGGAAGGCAGATAGATGTGGGTGGATCACTTGAGCTCAGGAGTTTGAGACCAGCCTGGGCAACGTAGTAAGACTTGCTTTCTACAAAAATTTTTTTAAAAAATTAGCTGGGTATGGTAGCCTGTCCCTGTAGTCCCAGCTACTCAAGAGGCTGAGGTAGGCAGATTAGTTGACCCCAGAAGGTCGAGGCTGAAGTGAGCCGAGATTGCACCACTGCACTCCAGTCTGGATGACAGAGGGAGACCCTGTCTCAAGAAAAAAAAAAAAAGAAAGAAAGAAAGAAAGAAAAGAAAACGGCTGTGCATGGTCTTAGCTCACGTCTTTAATCCCAGTACTTTGGGAGGCCGAGGCGGGTGGATCACCTGAGGTCAGGAGTCGAGACCAGGCTGGCCAACGTGGTGAAACCCCGTTTCTACTAAAAATACAAACATGGTGGTGAGTGCCTGTAATCCCAACTACTCGGGAGGCTGAGGCAGGAGAATCGCTTGAACCTGGGACGCAGAGGTTGCGGTGAGCCAAGATTGCGCCATTGCACTCCAGCCTGAGCGATGAGCAAAACTCCGTCCACCGTGGCCCAAAAATGTTGTTAATATTCCTAATATACAAAGAGGCCGGGTGCGGTTGCACACACCTATAACCCTGGCACTTTGAGAGGTGGAGGCGGGAGGATAATTTGAGGTCAGGAGTTTGAGTTCGAGACCAACCTGGCCAACATGGTGAAACCCCGTCTCTACTAAAAATACAAGAATTAGCTGGTGGGTGCCTGTAATCCCAACTACTTGGGAGGCTGAGGCAGGAGAATCTCTTGAACCCGGGAGGCAGAGATTGCAGTGAGCCGAGATTGCACCACTGCACTCCAACCTATGCGACAGAGGGAGACTCCGTCTCAAAAGAAAAATAATTATTAAATTTAAAAAATAAAATAAGAACAGATATTAAAATGGTTCTTGGTGGCATATGCCTGTAGTCCCAGCTACTTGGGGGGCTGAGGTGGGAGAATTGCTTGAGCCTAGGAAGTCAAGGCAGCAGTGAGCCCTGATTGTGCCACTACACTCCCACGTGGGCGATAGAGCAAGACCCTGTCTTAAAATAAAATAAAATAAAATAAAATAAGTTCGGGTGCAGTGGCTCATGCCTGTAATCCCAGCACTTTGGGAGGCCGAGGCGGGTGGATTGCCTGAGGTCAGGAGTTCAAGACCAGCCTGACCAACGTGGTAAAACCCTGTCTCTACTAAAAATACAAATATTAGTCGGGCATGGTGGCAGGCACCTGTAATCCCAGCTACTCGGGAGGCTGAAGTAGGAGAATTGCTTGAACCTTGGAGGCGGAGGGTGCAGTGAGCTGAGATCGCACCAATGCACTCCAGCCTAGGCAACAAGAGCGAAACTCCATCTCAAAAAAGTAAATAAATAAAAATAAAAAATAAAATAAAATGAACCTTAAACATATGACAAGGTGGTGAATCTCACTCATAATAAGAGAAACACAAAACTACACTTAAGAGAATAGATAAACAAATTGTGGTATAGTCATACTATGAATTTTGTTTTGTTTTGTTTTTGAGACAGAGTTTTCCCCTCTATCGCTAAGGCTGGAGTGCAGTGGCACGATCTCGGCTCACTGCACCCTCCACCTCCCGGGTTCAAGAGATTCTCATGCCTCAGCCTCCTGAGTAGGTGGGATTACAGGTGTGTACCACCACTCCTGGCTAATTTTTGTATTTTTAGTAGAGACGTGGTTTCACCATGCTGGCCGGGCTGGTCTTGAACTCCTGATCTCAGGTGATCCACCTGCCTCAGTCTCCAAAAGTGCTGGGATTACAGGCGTTAGCCACCGAGCCCGCCCGACCCATACTATGGAATTTTACTCATTAATAAAAAGAAAAAAAATGCTTATACACAAAACAACTTGGATGAATCTCAAAAGGATTATGGTGAGTGAAAGAAGCCAGACAGAAAAGGATACATCCTGTCTCATTGTATTTGCATGAAACTCTGCAAGAGAAATGTAATCCAGTAACAGAAAGCCAATCATTGGTTACCTGGGGTAGGGGGTGGGGTTTGGGATAGGGTACAAAGGAATCAATGTTCCCTATCTTGCTTGTGATGGTGGTTACAAGGTTGTATACATTAGACAAAACTCACTAAATTGTACCCTTAAAATGGGTGCGTCTATATATATAGACAGATCAATCTTTCAATAAAGTTAATTAAGTCAAGAAAGGAAACAAAGAGTCCTGGTTGGAAATACTTTTCTTTTTCTTTCTTTCTTTCTTTTTTTTTCTTGGAGACAGAGTGTCGCTCTATCCCCCAGGCTGGAGTGTAGTGGTGCGATCTCGGCTCACCGCAACCTCCGCCTGGCGGGTTCAAGCGATTCTCGTGCCTCAGCCTTCTGAGTAGCTGGGATTACAAGCGCCCACCACCACTCCCGGCCAATTTTTGTATTTTTAGTAGAGACGGGGTTTCGCCATGTTGGCCAGGTTGGTCTCCAACACCTGACCTCAAGTGAACCGCCCGCCTTGGCTTCCAAAGTGTTGGGATTACAGGTGTGAGCCACCGCGCCCGGCCCTGGCTGGAAATATTTTTCCATACAAGGGAAATCATTAACTTCTATGAAATAAGAAGAAGGCCGGGCGCCGTGGCTCACGCCTGTAATCCCAGCACTTTAGGAGGCCGAGGCGGGCAGATCCCCTGAGGTCGGGAGTTCGAGACCAGCCTGACCAATATGGAGAAACCCCATCTCTACTTAAAAAAAAAAAAAAAAAAAAAAAAACAAAATTAGCTGGGCGTAGTGGCGGGCGCCTGTAATCCCAGCTACTCGGGAGGCTGAGGCAGGAGAATCGCTTGAACCCGCCAGGCGGAGGTTGCGGTGATGGGAGATCGTGCCATTGCACTCCAGCCTGGGCAACAAGAGTGAAACTCTGTAGAAGAAGAAAAAAACTACACTGAGATACCATTTCTTACTCTCAGATCGGTGAGGGTTATAGTGCATTCTAATACTTAATTGAATGAGCTGGGTGTTTCACCACCCTGGTTTTTGTTTTTGTTTTCTTTTAATGTGGCTTTTTCGTTTGATTCACCGTCACTCTTTCCACTCCGCTATTTTTAATTTATTGGTGGCTAAGTCCTTTACCTAACATGACGTGCAGCATCATGATAACAAAATCAGTGTCAAACCTTAAAAAAAAAAAAAAAAGGCCAAAGGCTTTACAAGAGGTGGGATTCCCCTTTGGGGTCTCCGAAGGAGGGCGGGAACAAGACCAGAGCGAAGCTTCCGCTTTCATTTCTATGGTTATTAAGTTACCCATTCTCATTAAAGGAGTATCGCGGAAGGGTGATTTTCTGTCGGCAAAGACTTCCCTAACGACGAGTCCACCCATGAAACGGGGATGTAATAATGTCGTATCACAATGGGTGGCCTAAAAGAGCGCAAAAGCCAATCAGATGACTTACATTCTAGTAGAACGTTATATTATAGTTCACCTGACCAGTCAGTTTCGATCTCTTCTCTGCGTCTCCAAAATGCTGCCCTCCGGAATTAGGTTCTACCCCCTCCATTCCTGGCCAGTGGTTTGGTCCGACCTTAATACTGACAGGAGGCGCGAGCTGCGTCTGCGCAGAAAGCTGGCGGGGGGGTGGGGGGAGGAACATGGCGCAAGCTCTGTCTGAGGAGGAGTTTCAGCGGATGCAGGTGCCGCTCGCGGTGGGAAAGACCACCCGGCTAGGCGACCGGGGGCGGGGTAGAGAGAGGTCGTGCCATCAGCTCTGAGAAGGGGTTGGTTGGGATGGACCCTGAGTTTATGGGGTGGGTCTGGAGAAGGGAAACTGAGGCTCGGAGTGGTGAGATTATTGGATTCCGAGATACTCTGCGGCTTTGAAGGTTGGACTCTGTTAGCATTGTGGGCGGGGGAGAGCACCCTTAAGTAGGCGGTACCTTACTCAGACCTGGAGGGGATGAGACTTTTGGGCCAGTGCAGGGGACACCATCGGCGGGTGATGATAATGGGCTTTGAGGGAAGGAGATCCTGAGAAGGCGAAACCATTTTGTCTGGAGAGGAAGGAAGCGGGTGTTCGGTGGTTTGCGTCATGGTGGTAGGAGCCCTTGAGAGGGCAGAACCATTAGCGGGTGGGAGGTGGTAAGTTTTGGGGAGATACCACTGTGCCCGGGGATTGGGGAAAGACCCCAGATGTTGTCATTGTTCCTGGGAGGTGGAGATCTGTGCCATTGGTAGTTGGTAGTGCATCCTAAGAGGGGGCGGCACTGGGGTGAAGAAGGCCATGAATGGGTAATAACATTAATCCCATTAATTGGGGGGAGGACCAGAAGAGGTAAACGAGTAATACCTTGGACTACAAGGAGGGAAGATCACTGGGCTTTGGGGAGGCACTCCCACTTGATTCTTTTGGGGGGACTCTGAGATGCAATGAAAGGCCATAGCATTGCACTATGAATGGGCCCTTGTTGAGAGGGTTCCTCACTGGGGGGCGCTGAACAGGGTCCAGCATGGTGAGGGGAGGAACTCTGAGGGAGGACAGGTAATCCAATTGGTCCTTGAATGAGGGAAACCAACTGTCCCTGTGTGAGGGACACTGAGAATGGAAGGGCGAGTTGATTAACCCATGAATGGGGAAGGCCACTGTCATCTGAAGGGGATTCTAAGTGAGTAAGAGTCATCCAACTGGCCTACCCAAGGCCTTGTAGAGGCTTACCCTGAATGGCGTAGGGCCATTCCCATTGGATCATGACTGGGGAGATCTTGGGAGTGGGAATACCCTTGAATGAGGAACACTGATCCCACTGGGCCATGAATGAGAGAGAACTACTGGGCTTTGTTGGGGGGCAAGTCTCAGGGGGTACAAAGAGTATTCCAATTGGACCAGGACTTGGAGAGACAGATCACTGGGTCCTGGGGAGGACAGGAGCAGGAAAGATTCTGTGAAGGCCAAGCCCTCTCACTTTGAGCAGACTACCAGAGAATAGCAAGTGGAGGCTGGTGGCGTGGGAGGGAGGGAAAAGTCCTGGTGCGGGAAGGAACCGGCCTTGCTGGGTAGAACCAGCCTCAGGGTTCTACAGGGCTGGTAGGGAGGAGGATGCTTAATTCTTTTTTTTTTTTTTTTTTTTTTTTTGAGACAGAGTCTGTCTCTGTTACCCAGGCTGGAGTGTGCAGTGGCACGATCTCAGCTCACTGCGACCTCCACCTCCTGTGTTCAAGCAATTCTCCTATCTCAGCTTCCCTAGTAGCTGGAATTACAGGTGCGTACCACCATGACCAGCTGATTTTTGTATTTTTAGTAGAGATGAGGTTTCACCATGTTGGCCAGGCTGGTCTTGAACTCCTGACCTCAAGTGATCTGCCCACCTCAGCCTCTGAAAGTGTTTGGATTACAGGTGTGAGCCACTGCGCCTGGCACTTTCCCTTAATTCTTTTTTTTGAGACAGAGTCTCACTGTGTCACCCAAGTTGGAGTGCAGTGGTGCAATCTCGGCTCACTGCAACCTCTGCCTCCCCAGTTCAAGTGATTCTCCTGCCTCACCCTCCCGAGTAGCTGGGACTACAGGTGTGCACCACCACACCCGGCTAATTTTTTATATTTTTAGTAGAGATGGAGTTTCACCACATTGGCCAGGCTGGTTTTGAACTCATTACCTCGTGATCCACCCACCTTGACCTCCCAAAGTGCTGGGATTACAGGTGTGAGCCACTGCACCTGGCCCTCCCTTAATTATTGAAGGCGGCCTGGATGTATTTTGAGAGACTTGGAGGTGGGGGGACCCTGGAAAGCTCCCTGACTCAGTGAAAGTTGGGCAGAATACTTGACCCTCTTCCCTTAGGAAAGAGGGAGGAAGACAGGCCCCTACTCCCTGCTTTCAGAGGCCCCCAGGTCTGGTCAGAAAGATGGACAACACCCCTGACAGTGTGTGTTCAGTGTGTGGAGAGGTCAGCCAGGATGAGGAGGAGGAACTTTATCCTGTGGGCATGGAGAGCCAGGGAACTCACACAAGCAAGACCCTGACTGGGGCAGTGCTCTAGGGTGGCCTGAGTGCAGCATGGATTGTAGTGTGAGATGGAGGGGTGAGGCTGGCTAGGGTTATAAGTGGAGCTGGAAAAGGTGAGCCAGGGTCTGAGGGCCTGGAAGCTCACTTTAGGTGTAGCACATACAGGTCTTAAGGAGTAGCTACAGAGGAACATGGAGGGCATAAGGTCTGTGGGGCTTAGGGGCTTGGTTCCCTCATGGTAGGCGTAGGGGCGCTTTCCTGACCAAGTCTTTTCCCTTCCTGCCTCCCCAAAAGGCTCAGCTCCTGGAACTCCGGACAAACAACTACCAGCTTTCAGATGAACTACGCAAGAATGGTGTTGGTGAGCCAAGAGGGCCTTATTAGATGGGGGTGGCTTTGAGGCATGGTGTCTGAGGTTTTCCCTCAGAGGCCTGGCAGGAAGGCCTTTCAGTTTCTTGCCACATACTGAGGCTGAGTTTCCCTGCTTTCCTGACACCAGAACTCACCAGTCTTCGACAGAAGGTCGCCTACTTGGATAAGGAGTTCAGCAAAGCTCAGAAGGTACCTCCCTCCACCCATCCATCCACCTACCCATCCACCTACCCATCCACCCTTGCCTCTACCTATCTGACTCATTCATCCCTCCAGTGAGCACCTACAGTGAACCAGACTGAATGTTGCATGCTGTTTTCATGTAGTCATTTAAAAGATTCTCATGGAATTCTCTTTAGTTGGCTAATTTTACCTAATCCTGCTTAATTTATTGATTAATTTTAATTTACTTTTAATTCATTTCTAATTTCAGTTACTCATTCTCATTCACTGACTTTTAATTAAATATTCAAATCTATCAGTAAATCTACCTTGAATCTGCCTCCCATCCTCCACTCACACTCCTGCCTTGTGCTCCTACTTCCCATCTCTGTCCTGGTCCAGTTGGGAAAATGAGAGCAAACCCACCTCTCAGATCCTCTAAAGATGAGATAGAATATAACCTAATGTGGCCCCTCAAGACATTGAAGGTTCTCCTTTGTCACTGCTCTGTCCCCATATCTAGCCATACCTAGCATAATGTTGATACATAATATGTGCTCAATAAATATTTGTTGGATGAATGAATACAGTATGCAGAAAATCCGGCAGTCAGGAAGTTGCACTGCTCTTTGGTAGGATGCTGATTCCCCTAAGCTGGCAATGCTCTTGGCTGCCCAGCAGGGGAGCGACAGTTTCCACACTGCGTGGGAGGGACAACAGAGACATGTATGGACAGATGTAGCAATGAAGCCACAATTTCTGAGCCTGGAGATCCAGCCCGTAAATGGTTAAATACCAGGGCACCTCCCTACCTCCCCCACCCCCCACCAGCCTCCAGAGTTTCCAAGAAAGGATGATTTGTGTGTGCTGGGGCCCCAGGGCAAGATTTGCATTCATTCACTCACTCATGCCTTTGGGCTCCAAATTGTCACACATGTTCTGTGGTTGAAGATGCTCCCATCCCGCAACCCCCATCATCATTGTCCTCCCAAAACGCTTGGCACAGTTGTCTCCATATCCTAGTAAGGCAGTCCATCTCTGTTCACTTTAGCTCTCTTCCCACCCACCCCCACTTTAGGCACTGAGCAAGAGCAAGAAAGCTCAGGTAAGGGGATCTCTTGTGGGTGAATGTGACTGGGAGACTGTCTTGGTGGGCTATTTCTGTATGCTGAGATTTCCTTGTACTGGCCTTTCTTTCTCTGTGTGCCCTTATGTCTGCTACTACCTCACTGCCATGTGTTGCTGTATCTGTCCTTGTTTCCCTATTTGTCTCTAACCCTGTGTCTCTTTCCTTCTCTCTCTTTCTATCCTCTTCCCTGAGTCTTTCTGTCTCTGTCTCTGTCTTCCTGTTCCTGTCTCTTTGACTCATTTCTCTTCCCAATCTTCTCTTTGTCTCTCCCCCTCTTGTTCCTGTCTCTGTGATTTCTCTTTTTTTCTGCTTTCTCTCTCTGACTCTGTTTCTTCCCCACCTTTCCTCTCTCTTCCTAACTCGTTTCTTTTCCTGACCCTTCCTTCTCTTCTCCCTGTTCTGTTCTCTCCCTGTTGATTTCTGTTTGTTCCTCTCTCCATCTTTTTCACTCTCTCCCTCCCAATCCCTCTCCCCTTTTCTATCTCTCTCCCTTTCCCCATCTCTACCTCCTCTCTCCCCCATCATTATCTTCCTGTCTTTTCTTCTGCTGTCTTCCTCCCTGTATTCCCTTCTCCCTACCTTCCCATGTCTTTATCTCCCTTTCCCTGTCTCTCATTTTATCCCTCCCTGTGTCTCTTTCTCCTATATCACCTCATTCTCTGTACCCTATGTCCTCTCCCACCCATGTCATTTTCTCCCTCTCTCTGTTTCTTTGCCCTACCTCCCTATCCTTCCTGCCCTTGCTGGAGTCCTGGCCCTTGTCTGCCACTGCAGGAAGTCGAGGTATTGCTGAGTGAAAATGAGATGCTGCAGGCAAAGCTGCACAGCCAGGAGGAGGACTTCCGTTTGCAGAACAGCACGCTAATGGCCGAGTTCAGCAAGGTGCTGGTGCCTGGGATAGTCAAAGGGGAAATGAGGGGTAGGGGCCATCTGAGCTGAAACCTAACAGCAGCAGAGAGTGATTGGATAGGGTCTGGCCCTGGAGCACTGTCCGTGGTGCTGAAACAGGTCCTGGATTGCTGCTGGGGGGCAGTAATTTGACAGATGGGGCCACTAACTCTGCTGGGATTAGAAAGCTTTGAGCCCTGAGGTCAGCTGGTTCCTGGCCAAGTCACTCCTTTTATTTGAGCTTCAAGTCTCCATGTGTATAATGTTGGGTTGATGCTATGGTGCTCCAAGGTGTTGGGGGGTTTTAGGCAGAGTTCTTATGCTTAATATAGGATGGAAAAGTGTTTGAGCTTCTTCCCTTTTCTTTCTTCTCTTCATCTGACATGAGCCTGGGGTTCTACCTCTTCCAGATAATTCATCCTGGAGCTACTAATTCTCTCTCTCCATTGATTTTAGTGTCCTGTCTGTTTCTAAATCTACTGGGCAGTTGGAGACATTGTCTTTTGTTCCCTCATCTATCTTCTGTATCCACAGTTAATAATTGTCTATGTTTTTAGTGTGCTTTAAGGAAAAAAGTCTTATGGCAGCAAATTTTTTTGAGATGGAGTTTCACTCTTGTTGTCCAGGCTGGAGTGCAATGGCGAGGTCTCAGCTCACTGCAACCTTTGCCTCCTGGGTTCAAGCAATTCCCCTGCCTCAGCCTCCTGAGTAGCTGGGATTACAGGCATATGCCACCATGCCTGGCTAATTTTGTATTTTTAGTAGAGATGGGGTTTCTCCATGTTGGTCAGGCTGGTCTTGAACTCCCAACCTCAAGTGATCCACCTGCCTTGGCCTCCCAAAGTGCTGGGATTAAAGGCATGAGCCACCATGCCTGGCCCAAAAATGGTATTTCTAAGGCTCCATCTGAGAATATAGTGCCTGTGACCTTAAAAAAACAAAACTGAAAATAACCTTTAAGCAGATACAACACCAGGAGAGGCAGTTGAGCAAGTAGTAGTTACCAGCAGGGACTCTGTAACCAGAAGGTCTAGATTAAAATCTTGGCTCTACCTTTTACTAACTGTAACCTTAAGGAAGTTACTTAACTTGCCTGGTTCTTGGTTCCCAAATGTTTAAAATGGAAGTCATGATAATAACAGTACCTGCCTCCTCACAGGGCTTTTGTGAGGATTAAATGAATAAATGTATGTAAATCACTTAGAACAGAGCCTTGCACATAGTACCAGCTATGGAAGCATTAGCTATAATATTATCCTTCTATTAACTCATCTTCCCTCTAAAATATTTGACTTTTTAACAGTTTTGTGGCCGGGCATGGTGGCTCACGCCTGTAATCCCAGCACTTTGGGAGACCAAGGCAGGCGGATCATGAGGTCACGAGATTGAGACCATCCTGGCTAACGTGGTAAAACCCCGTCTCTACTAAAAATACAAAAAATTAGCCGGGTGTGGTGGCGTGCGCCTGTAGTCCCAGCTACTCAGGAGGCTGAGGCAGGAGAATCGCTTGAATGCAGGAGGTGGAGGTTGTAGTGAGCTGAGATTGCACCACTGCACTCCAGCCTGGGCAACAGAGCAAGACTCTGTCTCAATAAAAAAAAAAAAAAGTTTTATATCCACCCTGTGGCCCTGCTTTGCCTTAGTCTCTACCACTTCTCATCTGCTGTTTCTACAGCCGCCTCCCTGGTGTCTTCACTTCTAGTTTCTTCTACTTAGTTCACACCACAGAGGCTGTTCTGACCTGCAGATCTTACGACATCACTCCTTTACATAATACATTCCAGTGCCCCTGGTCCTGTCCCTAGTTCAGAGCCCCTGGTATTCACATAACTGCTGGCTTCACTGACTGACTTCTCACTGCTTCCTGCCTCCAGCCTCCATGGTATCATGATTCTTGCAGAGTGAGGCAAGGGCAGACATTCTTCCATAAATCCAGCTTGTTTCCCGGCATCTGCCCTGGTCCAGCACTGGGCCAGTTGCAGAGACTTCCTACATAGTCCCTTTCCTCCTCCAATTCCTCCCAGGAACTGGAAGTGCTCACAGAGAGAGCTACGTTAAACCTGCCACTACCCCTTATTCACCAAGACATTTCAGCTCAATTGTTCCTTCAACAAATAGTTACTGAGTACCCACCACATGCTCTATGTTCTGGAAATACAGTTGTAAGCCACACAGAATGATCTTCACTCTTAGCTTACATTCTGGGGGTGGGATGGGAGAAAGATGATAACAGTAAACAAATAATGCTAGTAGTGATAACTGACATTTATATGGTGCTTACTTTGTGCCAAGTCGTGTTTGAAGTACTCTACATTATTCACTCATTTAATCTTTGAAATAAGCCTATGAGATATTAGTATCCCTATTTGACAGATGAGGAAAACTGAGTTCCAGGGAGATTAAGTAATTTGTCACACAGCTAGTAAAAGGCAGAGTAGAAATTCACATTCAAGCAGTCTGGTTTCAGAATCTGTGCTTGTTACAAAAGAAAATTGTGATTAGTACTAGGTAAGAAAGAAATGAACAGTGCTGTGACAGAGAGTACTGGAATTTTCTCTGTTGAGGGATACCACTTTAAAGGTGACATCTGAGCAGAGCACTGAAGGATGCAAAGAAGCCAGTTATAACTGGATGAAAGGATTGGTGTTCTGGGTAGAAAATATTGCAGGCAGGCTCAGTGCGGTGGCTCACGCCTGTAATCCCAGCACTTTGGGAGGCCGAGGTGGGTGGATCACCTGAGGTCAGGAGTTCGAGACCAGCCTGGCCAACATGACAAAACCCCATCTCTACTAAGAATACAAAAATTAGCTGGGCATGGTAGCGCATGCCTGTAGTCCCAGCTACTCAGGAGGCTGAGGCGGGAGAATCGCTTGAACCTGGATGGCAGAGGTTGCAGTGAGCTGAAATTGTGCCACTGTACTCCAGCCTAGGTGACAGAGTGAGACTCCATCTCAAAAAAAAAAAAAAAAAAGAAGAAGAAAATATTGCAGGCAATAAAATAAAAATTCTCTGTAGGCCTCGATATTCTCATATGAAAATGGGGACAAGGGGCAGGCCGCAGTGGCTCACGCCTGTAATCCCAGCTCTTTGGGAGACCGAGGCAGGCGGATCACAAGGTCAGGAGATTGAGACCATCCTGGCTAATACGGTGAAACCCCATCTCTACTAAAAATACAAAAAATGAGCCGAGCGTGGTGGCAGGCGCCTGTAGTCCCAGCTACTCGGGAGGCTGAGGCAAGAGAATGGGGTGCACCTGGGGGGCGGAGCTTGCAGTGAGCCGAGATCGTGCCACTGCACTCCAGCCTGGGCGACAGAGCGAGACTCCGTCTCAAAAAAAAAGAAAATGGGGACAAGGGATTTTCTCAGGACTGCTTTGAGAAGTGTACTTTAGCCAGGAATTGGGCAGAGGTCTGGCTTAGTTTTATTGGCATTGTATACGTCTCCAAGACTAAGGGCTGGCAATGCAGGAGCTGTCATCAGTGTTGGCCCTGGAAATCACCTGCAAGCTCTTTGTGGTGCTTAGGATGAGAGGGAGCTAACTCTGGGCCCAGGATCCAGCCCTGCACAGAAGAGGGGTGGCAGTGAGCTGTCTGTAGCACTAACAACCTCCAGAGGAGCCTGAGGTCTTGGATTGCATCTCTGAGGTTGGAAGTAGGAAGAGGAAAATGGTTTTTGGTGTCCTCATACTTGGTATGCTCTTGGTATTTTCTGACTCTGCCACTTAAAAGATGTGTGAATTTGAAATTGTTTAACATCTCTGTGCCTCAATGTCCTTATTTGTAAAGTGGGAGGGCACCTACATCATAGGGTCATTATGGGAATTGAGTGAATTGTAAAGTACATGGACAAATGCTATGTAGGTTTCAGCAAATACTGTTCTGATTCTCTGCTTCTCTGCCCCTTCTCTTCCTCTGTTCAGCTCTGCAGCCAGATGGAACAGCTGGAGCGAGAGAACCAGCAACTGAAGGAGGGGGCTGCAGGAGCAGGGGTTGCCCAAGCTGGGCCCCTCGTGGATGGGGAGCTGCTGAGGCTGCAGGCTGAAAACACAGCCTTGCAGAAGAACGTGGCAGGTGCATAGAGGCCCTCCTGGGGATGCGGGGACCTTGGGGCTTGAGTAGGGCAAGAAAGGCTGTCATCCTCTCAGGGGAAGGAGAAGGGCTTCAGAAATAGGGTTGACCCATGCCCTGTGTGGCTTTGGACAAGCCATTTCACCTCTCTGAGCCAAAGTCTTGTCATCTACACAGTTCATGTAGTGATGTCTGTCACCCAGAAGATTGTAGTAGAGATAAAAGGTAATATCATTCTGCATTAGTTCAGTGTCTGATACCTAGCAGATGTTACAGATTAGCAGCTTGAATGTCAAAAAGGAGATATTTGCTAAGTGGAAAAAGTGAATGGAGTGTTGGGAAGATTCTGAGCCCAGATTGTAAGTGGGGTCTGGGATGAAAGCTGAAAGAAAGCTTGATAGAGTGTGGGAGCATGTGGTATGTGGAACTTTGGAGAGCAGCTGGGACGTCTGTGGTGGTGGGTGCTGGTTCCATGACTAGGAGGGAGACTTAGTAGAATGTGGGTGGGAATTAGGAGGCTCTAGGAGGGATTCAGCTATAAGTCAATGGTGGCACATGGTGGGCATGGCCTTCAAGGGCTATGGGTGGGGCTTGAAGGATTGAGAATGGGATTCGTGAAACCAGCTTGGGCTAATAGTAAACAGAATCTTAGTGGTTGATAGGGCTTAAAATATTTGTGAGAGGCTGGGCACAGTGGCTCATACCTGTGATTCCAGCACTCTGGGAGGCCGAGGCAGAAGGATCTCTTGAGGCTAGGAGTTCAAGACCAGTCTGGGCAACATAGCAGGACCTTGTGTGTACTAAAAATAAAATAGGCCAGGCGCGGTGGCTCATACCTGTAATCCTAGCACTTTGGGAGGCCAAGGTGGGCAGATCGCCTGAGGTCAGAAGTTCAAGACCAACCTGGCCAACATGGCGAAACCCCGTTTCTATTAAAAATACAATAATTAGCCAGGTTTGGTGTAGCATGCCTGTAATTCCAGCTACTTGGGAGGCTGAGGCAGAAGAATCACTTGAACCTAGGAGGCAGAGTTTGCAGTGAGCCGAGATCACACCACTGTACTCCAGCCTGGGTGACAGAGAGAGACTCCATCTCAAGAAAATAAACAAATAAATAAATAATAAAATAAAAAAATTAAACGGGCATGGTGTGCACTTGTAGTTCCAGCTACTTGGGAGGATCGCTTGAGCCCAGGAGTTTGAGGTTGCAGCGAGCTATGATTGCACCACTGCACACCAGCCTGGGCGACAGAGCAAGACTGTCTAGGGAAAAAGTTTTTTTTTGAGATGGAGTCTCACTCTTGTCACCCAGGCTGGAGTGCAATGGCTCGATCTCGGCTCAATGCAACCTCTGCCTCCTGGGTTCAAGCGAGTCTCCTGCCTCGGCCCCATGAGTAGCAGGGATTACAGGCGCGTTCGCTACCACACCCGCCTAATTTTTGTGTTTTTAGTAGAGACGGGGTTTTACCATGTTGGTCAGGCTGGTCTTGAACTCTTGACCTCGTGATCCGCCCGCCTTGGCCTCCCAAAGTGCTGGGATTACAGGCGTGAGCCACTGTGTCTGGCCAGGGAAAAAGATTTTTGGGGGAGGCTGAGATGGGAGGATTGCTTGAGCTCAGGAGTTCAAGACCAGCCTGGGCAATGTAGTAAGACCTTGTCTCTACAATAACTCAAAGAATTAGCCCGGGGTGATGGCACACACCTCTGATCCCAGCTACTTGGGAGAGTGAGGTGGGAGAATCACTTGAGCCCAGGAGGTCAAGGCTGCAGTGAACCGTAATCATTCCACTGCACTCCAGCCTGGGTGACATAGCAAGTCCCTGTCTCAAAAAAAAAAAAAAAAAAAAAAAAAAGTTAGAGGCATGGATAGAGCTGAACCTTCGTCTTTTATGCATGTGGTCATTTGGCGCAGGGACTCTGCCACCTGAGGGATTGAAGGCCAGTTCTCCCTCTGTTTGACGCATGGCAAGAGACTTCAGAGACCACCTCATCCATAATATATCCCTGTTCTACTCACCAGCCCTGCAGGAACGCTACGGGAAAGAAGCTGGGAAGTCCTTAGCTGTCAGTGAGGGCCAGGGGGACCCCCCAGGGGGTCCAGCCCCCACCGTCCTGGCCCCCATGCCGTTGGCAGAGGTGGAGCTGAAATGGGAAATGGAGAAAGAGGAGAAGAGATTGCTCTGGGAGCAGCTGCAAGGCTTAGAGGTGAATCTGGGTCTGTTGGAGCTGGAGACAGAAGGCAGGGCAGATGTTCTACCTCTGTCTGTAGTCCCACGGAGATGGCTGTGACATCACACCATCTTGTGGGCTGATGGGGTGAGGGAGGCAGACGGGCAGGGGAAGGCTTCTCCCTGTCCTTGCTGACAACAACCCTCCCATCCCTCATCCTTCCCTGCAGAGCTCAAAGCAGGCCGAAACATCCAGGCTGCAGGAGGAACTTGCTAAGGTGCGGCTGCTTGGCTCTTTCCCATTTTACTCCCAATCTGCTGGATTCTTTCCCATTCCATTCCCAATCCTAGGGCAGAAGGGGCATTGTACCCCATCAAAGCCTAGGTTTCATCATCTGTGAAATGGAGAGACTCACACCTATGTCTCAGTTACTTTCAGTATGGAATGGGCTAATGTAGTCCCACTATATCTTGTGCATGATAAGTTTCATCCCATCCATCTCCTCTCAGCTTTGCCCATTCACTCATTCATTCATTCATGCAAGCATTTACAGACTCCTGGCTCTTATCTTAGGACCTGGAGACCCAGGGATGAGGCACCCAGTCATGATCCTGCTTTCCAGGCCCCCCAGTCTAGCCATTCTATAACATGGCCATTGGCCACTATTTTGGGAGCATAAATACTGGGCTTTGGAGCCTGAAGGATCTGGGTGGAGATAATACTGTTGTTGCTGACCAGCTGGGCAACCAAAGACTCAGTTTCCCCATTTGTAAAATGTACTACTCACTTCTCAGGGCTATTTTGAGGATTCCACAAGATAACATAAGTAAATCCTGGCTTCCAAAAAGGACTTCATAAGAAGTGTCTATATTGGCCGGGCGCGGTGGCTCAAGCCTGTAATCCCAGCACTTTGGGAGGCCGAGACGGGCGGATCACGAGGTCAGGAGATCGAGACCATCCTGTCTAACACAGTGAAACCCCGTCTCTACTAAAAATACAAAAAAACTAGCCGGGCGAGGTGGCGGGCGCCTGTAGTCCCAGCTACTCGGGAGGCTGAGGCAGGAGAATGGCATAAACCCAGGAGGCGGAGCTTGCAGTGAGCTGAGATCCGGCCACTGCAGTCCAGCCTGGGAGACAGAGCGAGACTCCATCTCAAAAAAAAAAAAAAAAGGTCTATATTTATTAATTTTATATTTGTCTTTATATTATTCTCAATGTTATCACTTGTCTGCACCCCTCTTCCCAGCTCTCCGAGAAACTGAAAAAGAAACAAGAAAGGTAAATTTCTCTTTCCTAGGGGTACTGGGGGCTGAGGGGGGAATTAACTTACGGAACTGACCCATCTACATCTGTCCTTCTGTGCCCAGTTTTTGCCGTCTGCAGACAGAAAAGGAGACTCTATTTAATGACAGCAGGTAACTACCAGATTTGCAGGCATTGGTGGACAATTGGGACAGTGCCTAGTGAAGACTACAGGGGCAGAGCTAGGAGACCGGGCCTCAAGCCATGCCCAACACACCCGCTCCCCATCACCCCTAGGAACAAGATTGAGGAATTACAACAACGGAAGGAAGCTGATCACAAAGCCCAGTTGGCTCGAACCCAGAAGCTGCAGCAGGAACTTGAGGCTGCAAATCAGGTGATGGGGGCTGGGTTCTGAGATCCCTGGGGTAGGGGCTAGGACTGGGAGCCTGGAGAGGTCTGAGGTCCATGGAGGCTGGCTGGGGAGTCTGAGATTTCCTGTGTTGGAAATGGATTCTAGGGTACCCCAGGAGCTAGGAAAATGGAGAGCCCTAGGAATTGTTATAGGAGTCTTCATGAGTGTAAGATCTCAGGGGGCTAAGGACTTAGGGGGCTGTGTGCTATAAATTTGTGTAAATATGAAACTCCTGGAGGTTTGAGACCACAGTCTGGATGAATCTGTGGTCACTAGGGCCTAGGACCAGGAATTGGGGTAAGTCTGAACTCCCTGGGCGCTGGGTGACTTTAAGACCTTTAGGGGCTGGGATATCAGTAAATTTGGGACTCCCAAGGGCTGAGGACATGGCTGGGTACAACTTTCAAGGGTGAGACAGTTGGGGCTGAAGGCTGAGTGCATTTGAGACTCAGGATCTGGGCGCTGGCTTGGGCCTAAGACACCTAGGAAGTGAGATGGGCTAGGTAGTCCTGAGATCCTTGGGGGCTGTGAACAAAAAGCTGGTCAGTCTGAGACCTCCAGGGGCTGGAGCAAAAGTTTAGGTGGGTCTGAGGCTCCTGAGGACAGGGGGCTGGATGACTCTGAAGCCTCTGGGTTTCCTTCTAGAAAAGGTGAGTCTGAGGTCCCTTGGAATGGAGGATATGGTGGCTTGTGGTTCTGAAGTCCCTAGAAACTGGGAACATGGGGTCTAAGACAGGAGTCTGGGTAAAGCTGAGACCCCCAGGAACTGGTGGTTAGCTGGGTCTGAAGATCCCAAGAGACTAGGGAGCAGAGTGACAGGTGAAGGAGTCAGTCTGAGAGTTCACCAGGACCTGGAAACTAGGAGGTTGTGAGTTTGAGACCTCTAGGATCTGGGACTATGAGTTTGGGTGGATCTCACTTGGGAGATAGGGACATGGGAGATGAATGTGTCTGAAACCCCTGGTGGTTGGGATTGGGAGGCTGGGTGAAGCTGTCATCCTTGTGTGCTGACTACATCTGAGATCCATGGGGCTGACTGTGTCTGAGAATCCTGGAGCTCCCAAGCTGGAATCTGGGTGAGTATGAGACCTCTTATGGATGGGAGCTGAGTGAGTTTGAACCACACAGGAGCTACGGCCAGGAGACTAGATGTGCCTGAGATCTTCAGGCTGGGATATAGGGGCTGACTGTGTCTTAAGCCCCGAGGGTAGTGACCTGGCGTCTGGGTGAACCTGAGATTGCTGCTGGCTAGATAGTCTGAGACCCACAGGTGCTGGGAACATGCTGTCGGGTGGTCAAAGAGGGAGTTTGTATGGTTGTATGCACCCCAGGAGAGGCTGAGGTGTAAAATGGGCTCCCCTGGTCTCCACAGAGCTTGGCAGAGCTGAGAGATCAGCGGCAAGGGGAACGCCTGGAACATGCGGCAGCTTTGCGGGCCCTACAAGATCAGGTATGTTGTACTGGGTGGACTCAGGGAGCTGGGGTTCAGGATGGGGGCAGCCTGAGTGGGTACTACATAGGCAGGCAAGGTCCCAGGGGATCCTGCTTCCCCCAGGCCTTCGTGTGTGTTTGTGTGTGTATGTGTCCTTTCTTTCTTGGCTGTGGGTAGGTCCTGTCCCTCTGTTCTGGACCCACTCTCACCTGCTGTGGGCATGGGGCCAGGTATCCATCCAGAGTGCAGATGCACAGGAACAAGTGGAAGGGCTTTTGGCTGAGAACAATGCCTTGAGGACTAGCCTGGCTGCCCTGGAGCAGGTAAAGGACACCTGGGGGCCCTTGCTGATCCCTGTCTTGTTCCCCCATCTCCATCTGTTTCTGGTGCACATCAGGGTAGGGTGGTCTGGACCCCATGCTATTCTCCTGTCTTTGTTTCTGTTGCTCCTTTCAGTTGGCATCCAGCCCTCTTCTCTCTGGCCATCCATCCCTACTTTTTTTTTTAACTTTAAAAAATTTTATTAGGGAGGCTGAGGCAGGAGAATTGCTTGAACCAGGACCCAGGAGGCAGAGGTTGCAGTGAGCCGAGATCGCGCCACTGTACTCCAGCCTGGGTGACAGAGCAATACTCTGTTTAAAAAAAAAAAACAAAAAAAAAAACGGGCTTGGTGGCTCACACCTGTAATCCCAGAACTTTGGGAGGCCGAGGCAGGCGGATCACCTGAGGTCAGGAGTTCGAGACCAGCCTGACCAACATAGAGAAACCCCATCTCTACTAAAACTACAAAATTAGCTGGGTATGGTGGCGGGCGCCTGTAATTCCAGCTACTCGGGAGGCTGAGGTGGGAGAATCGCTTGAGCCCGGGAAGTGGAGGTTGCGGTGAGCTGAGATCGTACCATTGCACTCCAGCCTGGGCAACAAGAGTGAAACTCCATCTCAAAAAAAAAAAAAAAAAAACTTATTGGCCGGGCGTGGTGCTCACACCTGTAATCCCAGCACTTTGGGAGGCAGAGGTGGGCAGATCACCTGACATCAGGAGTTTGAGACCAGCCTGGCCAACATGGCGAAACTTCGTCTCTACTAAAAATACAAAAATTCGGCCGGGTGCCGTGGCTCACGCCTGTAATCCCAGCACTTTGGGAGACCGAGGCAGGTGGATCACGAGGTCAGGAGATCGAGACCATCCTGGCTAACATGGTGAAACCCTGTCTCTACTAAAAATACAAAAAAAGTAGCTGGACGTGGTGGCAGGAGCCTGTAGTCCCAGCTACTTGGGAGGCTGAGGCAGGAGAATGGCGAACCCGGGAGGCAGAGCTTGCAGTGAGCCGAGATTGCTCCACTGCACTCCAGCCTGGGTGACCGAGCGAGACTCCATCTCAAAAAAAAAAAAAAGAAAAAAAAAATTCCGCTTGGCGCAATGGCTCACACCTATAATCCCAGCACTTTGGGAGGCTGAGACGGGTGGATCACCTGGGGTCCAGAGTTCGAGACCAGCCTGGCCAATATGGTGAAACCTCGTCTCTACTAAAAATACAAAAAAATTAGCTGGGCATGGTGGTGCACGCCTGTAATCCCAGCTACTCGAGAGGCTGAGGCAGGAGAATTGCTTGAACCTGGGAGGCAGAGGTTGTAGTGAGCCGAGATCGTGCCACTGCACTCCAGCCTGGGCGATGGAGTGAGACTCCGTCTCAAAAAAAAAAAAAAAAAAAAAATTAGCCGGGTGTGGTGGGGCCTGTAATTCCAGCTACCTGGGAGGCTGGGAGGATGAGGTAGGAGAATCGATTGAACCTGGGAGGCGGAGGCTGCAGTGAGCTGAGATGGTGCCACTGCACTCCAGCCTGGGTGACAGAGCAAGACTCCATCTCAAAAAAGAGAAAAAAAATTATTTTGTAGAGATGGGGTCTCACTGTGTTGCCCAGACTGGCTCAAACTTCTGGCCTCAAGCTGTCTTCCCACCTCGGCCTCCCAAAGTGCTGGGATTACAGATGTGAGCCACTGTGCTTGGCCTATCTCTGCTTTTCTTTCTTTCTAGTTTCTCTCTAGTAAAGTGCATGAAATGTACTAATCTTAAGTGTACACTTAGTGAATCCTGTCTTCCTCTCTCTCTGCCTCTGTCTCCCTCTTTTCTCTCTTTCTCTCCCCGCCACCATAGCCACTGCCCAGATCAAAGTATAAAGCACTTTTAGTACCCCAGAAGGTCCCCTTTATCCCTTCAAAGTCAGTCTCCCCCAGAAGTAACCATTATTCTGATCTCTAGCAACATAAGATTCATTTTGCTTGTTCTTTAACTTCATATAAATGGAATCAGCTGCTCTTTGTCTCTGACTTCTTTCTGGTAGCACTATGTAAGTTTATCCACGTGGAACACAGGTGTGTTCTCTTATTGTTGTGTGGTATTCCATTGTATGAACATGCCACATTTACCCATTCTCTTCATTGCTTTTCTGTTTGAAATTTCCTCTCTCTTCCTGGTTCTCTTCCCACCTCCCTCCCTGTTTCCCTGGAACTAGGAGGCTCATACCCTGTCCCTGGCCCCTGGGGTCCCTTTCACTCTACTTCTTATCACCACTACTTTCTCCAGATCCAAACAGCAAAGACCCAAGAACTGAATATGCTCCGGGAACAGACCACTGGGCTGGCAGCTGAGTTGCAGCAGCGGCAGGCTGAGTACGAGGACCTTATGGGACAGAAAGATGACCTCAACTCCCAGCTCCAGGTAACACCTTTGGCTCTGGCCTGTCTCTTCCTAGTTCCCTAGTAATGGCCCAGGGAAGTCCCCAATCAGGTAGAGTGGGAAGACTGGAGTCAGGAGGACTTAGGTTCCAGTCTGGCTCCCTAACTTATTAGCACCTTTGTGTTCTGGGTCAAGTCATTTCACTTCTCTGAAACTAGCCTCTTCAGTTAGTTAGGATATCCATTCTTTTTCATTTTATTTTTATTTTTTATTTTATTTTATTTTATTTATTTATTTTTTGAGATGGAGTCTCACTTTGTCGCCCAGGCTGGAGTGCAGTGGCGTGATCTCGGCTCACTGCAAGCTCTGCCTCCTGGGTTCTCGCCATTCTCCTGCCTCTGCCTCCAGAGTAGCTGGGACTACAGGCGCCTGCCACCACACCTGGCTAATTTTTGGTATTTTTAGTAGAGACAGGGTTTCACCGTGTTAGCCAGGATGGTTTCGATCTCCTGAACTCATGATCCGCCCACCTCGGCCTCCCAAAGTGCTGGGATTACAGGTGTGAGCCACCGCACTCGGCCTCTTTTTTTTTTTTTTTTTTTTTGAGATGGAGTCTCGCTGTGTCGCCCAGGCTGGAGTGCAGTGGCGCCATCTCAGCTCACTGCAGCCTCCACCTCCTGGGTTTAAGTGATTCTTCTGCCTCAGCCTCCCAAGTAGCTGGGATTACAGGCGCCTGGCACCACACCCAGCTAATTTCGTATTTTTAGTAGAGACGGGGTTTCACCATGTTGGTCAGGCTGGTCTCAAACTCCTGACCTCAGGAGATCCACCCGACTCAGCCTCCCAAAGGATATCCATTCTGATTCCATAATAGAAACCAGAATAACAGTAGATTAAATAAGATACAAATTTAGTTTTCTCTCATTAAAAGTCCAGGTATGTTGTTCAGGGATGGAATGATGGCTTTCCAGTCATCAGTGACCCAGGTTCTTTCTCCATTGTTGTTCCTCCACCTTCAACACAAGACTTGGCATCCAAGACAGGTGCTGAAGCTCCCCGACCATCATGTTTGTATTCTATCTGGAAGGAAGGAGGAAAGGGGGCAGGGAAGAGTGTGCCTCTTTCCTTTAAGAGCATAACCTAAATTACACTCACCACTTCCGCATACACAAATAAATCACATGGCCATACCTAACAGTGAGGGAGGAGGGGAAACATCTGCTAGACAGCTGTATGCCTGATTATAAATTTTATTGCTAGGGAAGTAAGGTAGATTGAATACTGGGGAGCAACTAGCAGTCTCTGCTGTATTTCCTATCCAGAAATTGAGATCACAATACCAACTTTACCAGGGAGAAGGGAGATGGTCTACCAGATGGTCCTGGGTGACTAGCACCTACTGGATGCTCTTTATCAAACTCTTTCCCCTTGGTGTCTGCATTAGGAGTCATTACGGGCCAATAGTCGGCTGCTGGAACAACTTCAAGAAATAGGGCAGGAGAAGGAGCAGTTGACCCAGGAACTACAGGAAGCTCGGAAGGTAGGGGAACATGAGGGTTGAGGGGAGAGGATGAGGGGTAGGAATTGGCTCAGTCCATGGGGATGGGAAGAGGTGATATAGCCAAATATGTGGGGATTGGAGGGAAAGGAAAATTGATTGGTTTGTGGTTGACCAGTTTCTTGGCCAAATCCATCAGAGTGGGAGGGGAAAGAAAGAAAGTGACCAGTTCTATAAGGATGGATGAGTGCCTTAGCCAGTTCACTGGGGATGGGAGTAGAGTTTGGCTAGTTCTTTGGGCATGGGAAGAGGGTGGGAGGCCTTTTTTCAATGTTGTGGAATGAAGTTAACTGCCATCGTCCTGGTCCCCAGAGTGCTGAGAAGCGGAAGGCCATGCTGGATGAGCTAGCAATGGAGACGCTGCAAGAGAAGTCCCAGCACAAGGAAGAGCTGGGAGCAGTTCGTCTACGGCATGAGAAGGAGGTGCTAGGGGTGCGTGCCCGCTATGAGCGTGAGCTCCGAGAGCTGCATGAAGACAAGAAGCGTCAGGAGGAGGAGCTCCGTGGGCAGATCCGGGAGGAGAAGGTGGGTGGGTAGATGATGATGCCCTTCTTCCTCTAAAACCTGGGGACCACAGTGTTGCTGATAGGCCAATGGGTGGCGTGCATCAGGTGCCCACTCCTCTGCCTGCCTGGCCTATGACAGTCTGCCCCATCCCAGGCCCGGACACGGGAGCTGGAGACTCTCCAGCAGACAGTGGAAGAACTTCAAGCTCAGGTACACTCCATGGATGGAGCCAAGGGCTGGTTTGAACGGCGCTTGAAAGAAGCCGAGGTGAGTTGGGGATGCCTGGTGAGGAACAAGAGGTTGATTGGGGCCCTCACGTCAAACCAGAGAAACAGGAGTGGTCAGGCCCTGGAACTTCCCGAGATTTTCTGGACTTAGGGATATCCCCACAGTCCCCTGGCTCAATAGCAGCTCTCTGGAGTGGATCAGGGGATGGCCATCAGATAGGACAGACTGTCACGTGTTAAGGCTGCCCTGCCTTTATGCAAATTTGGAAAGGCACCTCTCTCCTGAAACTGTACTTCTGTCAGGAAATTAATGCAATACACTGATGTTATTTGAATAAGAACCTGCTGGGTGTGGTGGCTCATGCCTGTAATCCCAGCATTTTGGGAGGCCGAGGTGGGCGGATCACTTGAGGTCAGGAGTTCAAGACCAGCCTGGCCAACATGGTGAAACCCTGTCTCTACTAAAAATACAAAAATTAGCTGGGCATGGTGGCCGGCGCCTGTAATTCCAGCTACTCAGGAGGCTGAGGCAGGAGAATCACTTGAACCCAGGAGGCAGAGGTTGCAGTGAGCTGAGATTGTGCCACTGCACTCCAGCCTGTCTCAAAAAAAGAACCTTTGTTGCCATTTTCTGGAAATCTCATGATACATTGAAAGGCATTGTCATATAGCAGTGAAGAGCACAGGCTGGAGCCAGTTGTTTGTCTAGGCTTGAATCCTGGCTGGGCTGTTTCCTAGCTGTGTGACCTTGGGCAGGTTATCTGACCTCTCTGTGGCCTGTTTTCATCAATGGTAGAAAGGGGATAACAATAATATCTACCATCTAGGTATTATGGGAGGATTACAGAAAATGAGTTAATATATGTAAAACCCTTAGAACATTCTTGGCACATAGTAAGCACTGTGTTATGTTTTGTTAAATAAAATGTAAATGCAAATCTAGGTCAACCATGTGAATGGTGCAGCTTTAGATGTGACACTTCTGTATACTGCCTAAGGGCATGTGGGGTTCCCTGCAGGAGGGTCATTTCTGCATACCTCTGGGCCCCCATTGCAGTCCCTCATACCCCTAACTGGGCATGATATCTTCTGGGGGGCTGTGGCCAGACCTGGGACTTGTCTTGTAGGAATCCCTGCAGCAGCAGCAGCAGGAACAAGAGGAAGCCCTCAAGCAGTGTCGGGAGCAGCATGCTGCCGAGCTGAAGGTGCCTCTCGCATGATGGTGTTCCTCTCTCCAGACAGTGACGGGCCCTCCTGGGAGGACAGAGGCTTCCCAAGCCAATGCCTAAGCTGTTTTCCGCTTTGCAGGACAAGGAGGAGGAGCTACAGGATGTGCGGGATCAGCTCGAGCAGGCCCAGGAGGAGCGGGACTGCCACCTGAAGACCATTAGCAGCCTGAAGCAGGTCAGCGGTCCTTGCACAGTCCCCAGACACACCCCTGATCCTCAGCGTGCAGGAGGGGCAGGGAGGGAGCATGCTTCAGGCAGCCCTTCCGGCACCTACCAGCCATGCCTGCTTTCTCCCACAGGAAGTGAAGGACACAGCGGATGGGCAGAGGATCCTGGAGAAGAAGGGCAGTGCTGCGGTAAGACGGAGGGGTGCCCAAGCACGGCTCCCTCCTACCTACAGCCTCCCTCCTACCTGCAGCCTCCCTCCTATGGGCCCACTGGGCCTTAGTCCTCACCTTACCCCTGTCCCCCATAGCTCAAGGACCTCAAGCGGCAACTGCATTTGGAGCGGAAACGGGCAGATAAGCTGCAGGAGCGGCTGCAGGACATCCTCACTAATAGCAAGAGCCGCTCAGGTGAGGGACCAGGACAAGGAGAGGAGGCTGAGGCATGGGGTAGGCAGGGCCTGGGCCTGCAGGCTGCAGGTCAGTCCTGCATCTTCCTCAGCTGTGCTTTCCTGCTTCTGTCGCTCTGGAACTCCATCTGTCTTTTACCTCTTCTCTGTCTCTCCTCTGATTTTTTCTCTGCATTTTCTCTTATTTCTATCTTTCTGTCTCGTTTTTGCCCTGTCTCTTCTCCGTTTCTGTCTCTGCCTCTGTCTCAGTTTGTTCTCTCTCTTTCCTCTATATTTGCCTTTATCTCCTTGCTTTCTTTCTCTAGTTTTCTCTCTTTTTTTTTTTTTTTTTTTTTTTTTTTGAGACAGAGTTTCGCTCTTGTTGCCCAGGCTGTAGTGCAATGGTGTGATCTCCGCTCACTGCAACCTCCGCCTCCCGGGTTCAAGCAATTCTCCTGCCTCGGCCTCCTGAGTAACTGGGATTACAGGCATGCACCACCACGCCCGGCTAATTTTGTATTTTTAGTAGAGGCAGGGTTTCTCCATGTTGGTCAGGCTGGTCCCAAACTCCCAACCTCAGGTGATCTGCCTGCCTTAGCCTCCCAAAGTGTTGGGATTACAGGCATGAGCCACTGCGCCCAGCGCCCCCTTACTTTTCTCTGTCCCTTTATCTCTTCCCACCACTTTATCTCTGTCTCCTCTTCCTCTCTCTTCTGTTTGTCTGTTTATATCTCTGTCTCCTCACTGTATGTCCTACGTTACACACTCCCACACCTCACTTGGCGTTTCTAAATCTATTGTATACAATCTCTCATTCTATAAATCTCCACACTCAAGTACAGGATCCCTGATATAAAACTCCCTGAGTCCCTGCCCTCCAGAAGCCCCCAGTTGAGCTAGGGAGACAGACTTATACACAGTCAGCAACCCTGTGGTGTTTTCATTATACAACTAATCCAATCTGTTATTTCTGCCACTTCAAGCAGAAGACACACACACACGCACAACTTTAGTTGCTTCAGCCTTTTTTTAGACGGGGATGGCCTATAAATACATTTAAGTAAGTAAAATGCAGTGATGGCTCTGTTGTATCTCCTAGATCACAGACTCAGAGAAAACTTGGTCCCTTGTTCCCCTACTCGGGATACCTATGGATCCCCACTCAGTCACCCCACCCTTGCCAGAGATCCTTGAGGGCTTTAAGTGACGTGGCAAAACAGATGTATCTCTCACCAAATCAATTTCTCTCTGAGGCACTCAGTCTCCCGAAGTAACCTTTCTTTATAAAGGAGGAGTTTTGTTTCTGTTTTATCACAGATGAATGTAAGAATCTTGGGAAAGGTGTAATCCCAGCACTTTGGGAGGCCAAGGTGGGTGGATCACCTGAGGTCAGGAGTTCAAGACCAGCCTGGCCAACATGGTGAAACCCCGTCTCAACTAAAAATACAAAAAAATTAGCTGGGCCTGGTGGTGGGCGCCTGTAATCCCAGCTGCTTCGGCAGGCTGAGTCAGGAGAATTGCCTGAACCCAGGAGGCAGGGGTTGCAGTGAGCCAAGATTGCGGCATTGCACTCCAGCCTGGGCGACAAGAGCGAAACTCTGTCTAAAAAAAAAGAAAAGAATCTTGGGAAAAGTTACAATTGTATACCATACATTCAATACATTCACCTTGTCCATTAGATTAAACTGAGATTTAGGTGCGTGGTTACGAGAGCCTGCTTGCATGTTTTTTTCTCTCTGTTTCTGCTCTGGCTCACTTCTTTCTCCAGGGTCTCTGTTAGTTTCTGTCATCTGCTCTGGCTTTCCATCTCTGGCATTTTCTCTCTGCAAGCAGATGTGCCCTGTGCCCTCCTAGCTGTCTTCCTTTCTCTGAACCCTGTGTCCAAGTGTGTCTGCCATTTGAGGCCCATGTGTACCCACATCGTTGTGTTTCTCCAACCTCTTCCATTTTCTCCCTCTCTTTTTGTATGTGTTTCTCCAGAAAGGCAGCTCTTTCTTTTCTTTTCTTTTCTTTCTTTTTTTTTTTTTTTTGAAACGGAGTCTCACTCTGTCACCCAGGCTGGAGTGCAATGGTGCGATCTCGGCTCATTGCAACCTCCGCCTGCCGGGTTCAAGCGATTCTCCTGCCTCAGCCTCCTGAGTCGCCGGAATTACAGGCATACACCACCACACCTCGCTAATTTTTGTATTTTTAGTAGAGACAGGGTTTCTCCATGTTGGCCAGGCTGTTCTTGAACTCCTAACATCAAGTGATCCATCCATCTCGGCCTCCCAAAGTGCTGAGATTACAGGTGTGAGCCAGTGCGCCTGGCCTCAGCTCTTTTTTCTGTCTCTGTCTCTCCCTGTCCTCCTGTCTGCTTCTGCCTTTCCCCATGCCTCGGTGTCTCTCTTTCCATCTCTGTTAAATCTGTTTCTGCCTCTTCCTGCTGGTTGCTGCTCTGGGACTCAGGGGTATTGGGGCTCAAGTTTCTCTTCCCTCCACCACCCAGGCCTTGAGGAGCTGGTTCTCTCAGAGATGAACTCACCAAGCCGGACCCAGACAGGGGACAGCAGTAGCATCTCCTCCTTCAGCTACCGGGAGATCTTGCGGGAAAAGGAGAGCTCGGCTGTTCCAGCCAGGGTAAGGGGAAAGGAAGAACCTACAGCTCCAGCTTCTCTCAACCCAAAAATCTGAGAACTCCTCCCCTTTTCTCCTCACTTAAATCCATCTCCTACTTTGGGCGCAGCACACATATTTTCTTGCCAACTTCTCCCCAAGCCCACCAACTTGGATTCGGATTGCTACATGTAGGACAGGCCATTCTCTTTCTCTCTGACTTTCTGTTCCATCATCTGTGGGCTAATTCCCCCTTCTCTGGTGCCATAAAGTATGTGGCTCATAGTAGGTGCACCATCCAAGGAGAAGGTCCCTTTTTCCAACTTGTAACCATCACGAATTATTATTGCCAGCTATCATGTCAGCCTCTTTACCAGTCACTTTCCTTTGGAAATAACTTTTTTATGTTCCACAAATAGTATGTGCGCATTGTAGTACATTTTTTAAAAACCACAAATGAGCAAAGATTTTTTAAAACCTTAAATGTCTGGCCAGGTATGGTGGCTCATCCCTATAATCCTAGCACTTTGGGAGGCCAAGGTGGGTGGATCACATGAGCTCAGGAGTTTAAGACCAGCCTGGGAAACACAGTGAAACTCCGACTCTATTTAGAAAAAACAAAAACCAAGAAACCTTAAATGTCAAAAAAAATAATATTTTCACCATCCAGAAGTCACCATTATAAATTCTTAGTTCAGGGCTGGGCGTGGTGGCTCATGCCTGTAACCCCAGCACTTTGGGAGGCTGAGGTGGGCAGATCACTTGAGGTCAGGAGTTTGAGAACAGCCTGGCCAACATAGCAAAACCTTGTCTCCACTAAAATACAAAAATTAGCCGGGCGTGGTGGTGCATGCCTGTAATTCCAGCTACTCGGGAGGCTGAGGCAGGACAATCGCTTGATCCTGGGAGGCAGAGGTTGCAGTGAGCCAAGATCTTGCCATTGTACTCCAGCCTGGGCAACAAGAGCAAAACTCTGTCTCAAAAAAAAAAAAAAAATTTAATGTCATCTAATACTTTGACCTTAACGAGATTTCTCTAGTTGGCCCCAGAATGTCCTTTCTTGCTGGTTTTATGAAAACTAGCATTCAGATTCAGAGCACATGTTACATCTGGTTGTTTTATGACCCTTAAATCTCTTTAGTGTGGTCCCTTTTTTCCTGAGACCAACTTGTTGAAGAGGCCAGCCTAGTCACCCCACAGGAAGTATGCTACCTTTTGGGTTTTTCTGCTGGCTTCCTGGTGGTATGATTTAACATGTCCCTCTCTCTTCCAGTTTTCCTGTCAGCTGGAAGTTAGATCGCATTTGCTTTGGGATCTTCCTTTAATCCTCTCCACAAGGCTCTGATGTGGTTACTCTCTACCCCCGTTTAGGCAGAGGGGAAAACAGAGTCTGAGGGTACCAAGATGGGCCTACAGTCCCATCTTCAGGGCCCACGTTCTCTCATCCACCTCTGGCCTGGTTCTCCTCCCCAGTCCCTGACACCTGTCTGCGGTCAGTGGTGCTGAGCCTGGGTCTGGCCTCTCCCCTTCTCTTTCCTGCAGTCTTTATCCAGCAGCCCTCAGGCCCAGCCCCCTCGGCCAGCAGAGCTGTCAGATGAGGAAGTGGCTGAGCTCTTTCAGCGGCTGGCAGAGACACAGCAGGAGAAATGGATGCTGGAGGAGAAGGTGCTGCCTGCCTGCCTGCCCATCCCCACTTGAAGTGCCCTTGGGGGTGTGGGGTCTGTCCAGGGCCCGCCTCATGTGTGAACATGTACAGTAGAGGGGTCTCAGGTGGGCTGGGCCATCTTGCAGGTGAAGCACCTGGAGGTGAGCAGTGCTTCCATGGCAGAGGACCTCTGCCGGAAGAGCGCCATCATTGAGACCTACGTCATGGACAGCCGGATCGGTCAGTGCCCCCTTTTCCCTGGCCCTCAGCCCTGATCCAGCCTTCACCTGGCCCTCCCTCTCCATTATGTGCTGCGGCTTCTCTCCTCTCCTCTCGGAACTCAGTGAAGCTACTGATAAGACCATGGCCTGTGGAGGGGAGAACAGGAAAGCACTGTCTCTTGATCTCGCCTCCTCCCTCTTCTTCCTTTCTCTATCATCTCTCCACTCCCTATTCTCCAGTGTGTCTCTCTGTCTGCTTTCTCCTTTCCTCTCCCTGTGCCTCATCTTCCTCTCCTCTCTCCCTTCTCTCTTCTCCCTGTTTCTCTTTTTCACCCCACTCCTTCATCTTGTCTCGCTGTCTATACTGTTCTATCTCCATACATTTTCCTTCTCTGTATCTTCATTGCTTTTGCTTCTTTCTTTCAAACCTTCTCCTTCACAGATTTTTCTTTATTAATCAGAATCATACTGACCAACATGTGCTGAGGACTTTCTGTGTGCTCTGTGCTTCACACACAGTCATGTGCATCTTTCCAGTTCCACAAGTTAGTTATCCTCATTTCTCAGGGCCGCAGAGCTAGTGAGTGACAGAGCTAGGTTTCGTATGTCAAAGCCTCTGTCCTCCATGACATGGCTTTTCCTGCTCCCTTCTTCCCTGGTATTCGTCTCCCTCTTTTCTCCTCTGGCTCTGCCTGGCTCTCCTCTGGCTCTGCCGAGGGGGTTGTTCTCAGCCTGGGCCCTTGCAGATGTGTCTGTGGCAGCAGGCCACACAGACCGCAGCGGGCTGGGCAGCGTCCTGAGAGACCTAGTGAAGCCAGGCGACGAGAACCTTCGGGAGATGAACAAGAAGCTGCAGAACATGCTGGAGGAGCAGCTCACCAAGAATATGCACTTGCACAAGGCGAGTGTGGCCTGCCAGCCTACCCATCTGTTCACCCAGCCACCTGCCTACCCAGCCACAGCCCCTGGGTTATCTGCCAGTCCCCTTGCCCACCCACCCAGCCTGTCCTCCCAGCTATCCTCCTACCCACTCATCAACTACCCCATCATGCTCTCATCTTCCACTGTCTCATCAAGTTATTATCCATTCATTCCTTCCTTGTACCCGCTCATCCATTTATCTACACATTCACCCAACCATTTGCCCATCTGTCCATCTGCCCAATCTACTACTTACTCATCTCATTGTCTACCCCATGTCCTGCCACCCATTTCTTGACATATCATTCTCTTATCTACTCATCAGTTGCCCCTTGTGTTACCTTTCACCCACCCGGTGACCTGCCTGCCAACCTGTTGATCTCCATCTGTCCTCTGGACAATTCATTCGTCCACCAATTTGTCTACCATAGATCCCCCATGCCCATGAGTCCACACACACATCTTTTTGCCCAACCTGCCACCCAAAGACTTTCCCCATCTCTGAGAGTCAGAAAGGAGTCAGACCCAGCTCCTGCCTTTGAGAAGCAAGCTCACACTTAGTAGAAGGGCAGGTGGCCAGAGTGGTGATGTATCCTGCAGCAGCACCATGCCGCAGGAGGCATCCCACTCCCATATCTGTAGCTCCCCACCCATCCTCATGACTTTTCTGAGCCCAGCCCACTGCTGGGGGTGCTGTGAGTACCTTCCCATCCCAGGCCAGACACAGCTGAGCATTGATTAATGAAAGGGTGTGAAGGAAATCGCAGATGATACTCTGCATTTGGCAAGGGAGCAGCCTGTCCCCTTTTCTGGCCCCTGATGGTTCATTTGTTTCTTAGGACATGGAAGTTCTGTCCCAGGAAATTGTGCGGCTCAGCAAGGAGTGCGTGGGGCCTCCTGACCCAGACCTAGAGCCAGGAGAAACCAGCTAAAGACCTGCAGGCTGCACCCACCTCCTCCCCCTCCTACCCCCTAGGATGCCATTCCCTTGGGCTGTGGTGGGGAAATGAGGGCTGAAGCCAAAATCAAATAGCTTGGGAGACTGGACATTAAAGGGACTAGAGGCCTGATGGTTAGTGTTAATGATCCTGTCTTAGGGCAGAGGCCACCAGGGAGTGGGGATCCTGAAGGAAGGGGCAGGGATTTCTCCTTCTTCTTGGTCCTGGCTCCCAAGGGCTTCTGTCTTCATCTCTGCATGAGCTCTCCTTCCCAGAGACCAACTCTTTTTTATTTTATTTTATTTTATTTTTTAATTTATGTCTGGAGCCTGGCTACTCTGCATTTGGGATTGGGGATGTTGGGTGGGTGTGTGGTCCATGTTCAGCGTTCTAGCAACACGTGTGTGTGTGTGTGTGTGTGTAAAGGCTGTGCAGCCAAAATACCATCTGGCCAGACGGGCCCACCCACTGACTGTCTCGTCTCATTCTTTTCAACCAGGAGGGACGTGCTGGGGGCGGGGAGGTTCACACCATTGGAAGAGGGAGGGAGGTCTCTGGCTGCAACGTTACTCTCTTTTCCTCACCCTCATCCAGCCTGTCTCCATTTACAGCTGACCAGCCCCTCAAACTGAGTGGAGCTGAAATACCTGCAGATATGTACATGGGTAGACATGTATGGGATTGTGGGTATAGATGAGTAGATAGACGGGGGGATGGATAAGTGGTTGGATGGACAGATGGATGAATAAGTGGACAGTTGCATGGACTGATGATGGATAGGTTGGCAAATAAATGGATGGATGGATAGATAGGTGGTTGGATGAATAAATGGATAGATTGGTGGGTGGATAAATAGAGGATGGATAGTAGAGATATAAATGGACAGATGGATAATAGGTCTATGGACAAATGGATGGGTGGATGAATTAGGTAGATAGGTGGATGGATGGGTTTATGGACAGGTTGGGAGTAAATGGACAATGGTTAGGGGAATGGATGGATGGGTAGATGAGCTCATGAATGGGAAGGGTAAAGAGTGGGAGAAGAAATGATGAGTGGAGCTATGTATGGACAGCAAAGGGCAGAGGATGTCACCCTGCGTGTATTCCAGGTGGGAAGAAATGGGTGGAGGATGGATACATACAGATAGATTGGCAAATAGGCAGATGGGGTGAACTTACACATGGATGAATGAGTGGGTGGGTAGATTAACAACTAAGTGGACAGATGGGTGGGTGGAGGGATGGATAGAGTAATTGGTTGTGTAGGTGGGAGAATGGATGGATGGGTAGGTGGAGGAATGGATGTAGAAATGGACAAATCAGGAGTGTGCCAAGTGGGCAAATGGAAGATTACGTGGGTGGGTAATCGGATGAAAGGCTAGGCCTGGCCCTGTTACAGTGCCCCTGTCATCACACTCCTTTAATTAAGATTAAGCATCCCTGGTGTGTGCTGTGTCCAGTGCTATCACCTTTCACATCATGTAATGCTCCAAATGATGCTATCAACTTGGGATAAGTCTCTCCATCTGACAAATGAGGAAACAATGCAAGTCACTTGCTCAAGGATGCAGCAAGTCAGTGGCAAAGGTGGGGTCTGAACCCACCCATAGCCAGCCAGAGGCATTCCATAATCAGTGCTCCTGCCATCCAGAAGCAGAGCCCTCTAGCGGAGGAGGTGTGATTTGAGGCCACTGGATGTGGACAGATAAGAGAGACTGCCCCCTCAGAGTGGGGCCTGCCTGAGAGACGACTTGGTAGAGGGGTGGGACCTGGATTGTCCCCTTCTACATTCCCTTTATCCTCATTTCATATCTAAAAACAGGAAGTCGTGTGCTCCAGTCCCACAGCCGAAGTCTTAGAGCTGGGGCTCTAACCCATGCTGCGTCCCTCAAGGGGGCAGCTTCGGAAGCTTGGCCATCTAGAGAAACACTCCCCAGCAATTACCCCCAACTCCTGGCTCTCCTGCCCTTACACAGTCTGGGGGGCAGGGAGGGGACAGCGCTGCATCATTCCCTGTGGCACTCCGCTCTGGGGCCATTAACAGACGCCTCCCCATCGATCGGATCTGCTAAGTGCTGCTGATTCAGGCGAGTGGGGGTGGGGGCCCCTGGGGGCAGAGGGGGTAGGAGCTGGGCAGGAAGAGAGGGGAGTCCAGGAAGGAGGTGGAGAGAATTGGCAAAGTTCCCTGCCACCCCCATTTTCCAGATGACGCGACTGAGGCCCAACCAGCTTTGTAGGAGGCGGAGTCTCCCCAGGGTCCCTCTCTGGCTGTCCTAGGGGAGGGGGCTCGGGGAGCCACGAGGCCCCTCCCTGCCTCCCTCCATCTCCCGGCAAGCTCGGAGAGGCGGGGAGAGAGAGCCAGAGGAGGAGGAGAACTCAGGCAGCTCTGCAGAGGGGGCCAGGAGCTCGGGTGTTTGGTACCCCCAGCCCCACCGCTGTTGCTGCTGCTGCAACGGGGACACAGGTGAGGACGGCCCGAGAGGGAGGGGGAGGGGGACCACCACTAGCGCTGTCCTCATCCTTCCCTGGTCCAGCCCCCACGCCCTAGCCCATCCTGGGATACTCCCCAGGGGTCCCACTGGACCTTGCCCTTCCCAGGCCTCCTTCCGGGGACCCTGCGCCCTCTCCCTGCCTATGCCACCTTCTCTCCTACGCCTGGCTGTGGTTGCTTCTCTTCCTCCTGCTGCCGCTGCTGCTACTGCCACTGCCCAGCACACACCGCCAGCCCCTCGGGGTGTGGTTTCCCCAGACCTGCCCCCAACGGTGGGACCCAGCCTTCTCCCGGCCTCCCCTGCCAGCTTCCTGCAAAGCCCAGGAGCCCCCCTCCCTGGAGACACACCCAACTCCCTTTCAACACCCCACCCTCCTCTTAACCCCATTTTGGGGGTAACCCCCTTCCTCTTATTTAGTCTTCATAGATCCCCTGGGTGCTCTGGGACTGTGCCCAACTTCCTAACATTTGAGTCCCAGCCCCTTGGAATTCCCCAGGCCCCTTTTTCCTCCCCGTAGAACTCCTGAGACTGTTGACCAGGCTTTCTTGGCCCCTCTAGATACCCACCTCCCCCAGATAACTCTCAGCCTCTCAAAAAATAACCCAGCCCCCTATCCACCCCTTTGGATAACCTCTTCCCCTCTCCAGCCCTACTAGGCAGCCCTCGCCTCTCCTTTCTTCCCCAGAACTCCTCTAGAGTAGAGACATCCCCCCAGGCTATTCTTGGCAACTCTAGGCAGTCCCAAGACACCTTTCAGCCTCTTTACAACCTCCTGGATCCACAGCCACCCCTCCAGATGCACCAGCTGCCTTTCCAGATCCATGAGGGGGGTCTAACCCTCTTATGCTTCCCCTAGAAGCTTGAGGGTGTGGACAACCCTCCTCACCTGTCTCAGCCCCTCTAGAACCCCCACTTCCAGACACTCTCAGTCTCTTTCAAGCACCTCTGGTCCCATTTCTACCCCTCTGGATGCCCCAGTCTCCTCTCCACCTCCACAAAGGAGTTCCAGGCTCTTCTGCCTTCCCTGAGACTCTTGAGAGTGTCGAGAACTCCCCCACGTGTTTCTTGGCCCCTCTAGACGCCCCCAGACACCTCTCAGGCACAGGCTAACTCCTTTAGAATCATCTCAGTCTCTCTAAACCCTCCCTCAGCTCCTTCTTGGCCCCATCCCCACACCTCTTTTCTGTTCTCTATGTCCCCAAGTCCCTTCTTAGTCCCTCAGGACATTGCCCAGGCCCCTCCTAGGCTCTGTAAATGTCCCCCAAACTCCTTCCCATCTCTCTAGTTCTTCCTCCTGGTTCCTCTTGGCCTCTCTAGACACCCCCAGTTTCCTTGTTCAGGTGGCTCAAGGTGTCTCCAAGCCCCCACCATCCTGGAGACAGCCACATTCTCCTACACGCCACCCTCACTAAGTCTCCCTGGGCTTGGGGAGCAGCACGATGGCGGCAGGCCTGGCCACGTGGCTGCCTTTTGCCCGGGCGGCAGCGGTGGGCTGGCTGCCCCTGGCCCAGCAGCCCCTGCCCCCGGCACCGGGGGTGAAGACATCTCGAGGAGATGAGGTTCTGGTGGTGAACGTGAGCGGACGGCGCTTTGAGACCTGGAAGAATACGCTGGACCGCTACCCAGATACCTTGTTGGGCAGCTCAGAGAAGGAATTCTTCTACGATGCTGACTCAGGCGAGTACTTCTTCGATCGCGACCCTGACATGTTCCGCCATGTGCTGAACTTCTACCGAACGGGGCGGCTGCACTGCCCACGGCAGGAGTGCATCCAGGCCTTCGACGAAGAGCTGGCCTTCTACGGCCTGGTCCCCGAGCTAGTTGGTGACTGCTGCCTTGAAGAGTATCGGGACCGAAAGAAGGAGAATGCCGAGCGCCTGGCAGAGGATGAGGAGGCCGAGCAGGCCGGGGACGGCCCAGCCCTGCCTGCAGGCAGCTCCCTGCGGCAGCGGCTCTGGCGGGCCTTCGAGAATCCACATACGAGCACTGCAGCCCTCGTTTTCTACTACGTGACCGGCTTCTTCATCGCCGTGTCGGTCATCGCCAATGTGGTGGAGACCATCCCATGCCGCGGTGCTGCACGCAGGTCCTCGAGGGAGCAGCCCTGTGGCGAACGCTTCCCACAGGCCTTTTTCTGCATGGACACAGCCTGTGTACTCATATTCACAGGTGAATACCTCCTGCGGCTGTTTGCTGCCCCCAGCCGTTGCCGCTTCCTGCGGAGTGTCATGAGCCTCATTGACGTGGTGGCCATCCTGCCCTACTACATTGGGCTTTTGGTGCCCAAGAACGATGATGTCTCAGGCGCCTTTGTCACCCTGCGTGTGTTCCGGGTGTTTCGCATCTTCAAGTTCTCCAGGCACTCACAGGGCTTGAGGATTCTGGGCTACACACTCAAGAGCTGTGCCTCTGAGCTGGGCTTTCTCCTCTTTTCTCTAACCATGGCCATCATCATCTTTGCCACTGTCATGTTTTATGCTGAGAAGGGCACAAACAAGACCAACTTTACAAGCATCCCTGCGGCCTTCTGGTATACCATTGTCACCATGACCACGCTTGGGTGAGTGCAGACTCCGTGTTGGGGGCTGCCCGATTACACTCACCCTTTCTGTAAAATTAGGAAGTTTAAAGGAATGATCTCTTTCTTTCTTTCTTTTTTAGGTGGAGTCTTACTCTGTTGCCCAGGCTGGAGTGCAGTGGTAAGATCTCAGCTCACTGCAACCTCTGCTTCCTGGGTTCAAGTGATTCTCCCGCTTCAGACTCCCAAGTAGCTGGGATTACAGGGGCATGCCACCATGCCCAGTTAATTTTTGTATTTTTAGTAGAGATGGGATTTCACCATGTTGGCCAGGCTGGTCTCAAACTCCTGACCTCAGGTGATCCGCCCACCTTGGCCTCCCAAAGTGCTGGGATTACAGGCGTGAGCCACCGTGCCTGGACTCTCTCTCTTTTTGAGCTTCAGTTTGCTAATCTGTACAAACTGAAGGAGCTGGACTTATTCTTCAGATCCCTCCCAGCTCTGACAATGCCTTGATTTTCTAGCTCAGGAGACTTGGGTTCAAGGATTGTCTTAGCTGCTCTCTTTCTGTTGATGTCGTTTTCTCATGGCCTCAGTTTTCCCCTCTGTAAAATGGGGAATGCTGATCCCTTCATCGTCTAGAGAGGATTCAATGACATCACAGTTGTGAAAGTTCTCTGAATGTTTCTGGTGCAGGATACATAGGTGTTGGCTTTCTAGCACCTCTTTTTCTGTTTTGGGGACCCATGTCTCCCAACCTTCTAGAATTGTCTGCTGTGTGGGGCACTACTTCTGTGCCTTTGTGATTCCTTGATGTTTCCCAGAACAAGATGTTTTCAGCTTTTTTTTTTTTTTTTGGTAGATCCCTGCAGAAGAAACAGAGTTCGGATAAAAGTATCAAATGGAATCACTGAACTCATGAGCTTTCTAAAGATACTGTCTAGGGCAGATGCTGTGATCCTTCTCTAAGTTTCCATCACTGGGATTGGGTATACAGTTGGTGCTCCGTATCTGTTGAAGGAATGACTGAATGAATTGGGTTTGCTCAGTTTCTTCATAGAGGTACAAAAAAAGTTGATTTGGGGTTTCTAAAGCGTAGAAACCCCAATTCTAGTTGGAGGTCCAGGATCAGACCAACAAACAAATACAGAGTGCTGACAGTAGGCTGGAACTGAGTATTTTGATGGCTTTTACTCTATTCAAGTCCTCACAACAACTCTGTGAGGGTGGATGTCTGCCCATGTCTCATAGTTGAGGACACGGTCTGAGATGACACATCAGAGAGCCAGCAATGGCCAAGTTGGAGAGACTTTTGAGCAGAGTCTTGAATGCTTAAAATGAGTCAAAATACAGAAATAAGGAACAGCCATCCTAGGGCACAGAGAAAAGGCTTAGAGGCTAAAGACTGCAGAGGCTGTGTTTCTGTGGAGGAGTTCTGATTGGTTCTGCGGTCAGAACAAAAGTATGCAGTGTGATCTTGGGCGAGTCAGTTACAGAACCTCCCTGATCTTCAGGGGAGCTCTCTGTGAACAAGTTAGTAAGGTTGGCTTGGCTCTATCTCTATGGGAGGTGGGTGGCATGGAGAAAGACAGGGGGGTTTCAAGGCTCCTCCCTGTTTTGTCGTATGTGGACAGTTTTCAAAGATTCCCCTACAGGGAAATGAAAAGGGGTCCTACTTAGACCAGGTAAGAGAGGCAGCCAAAACCAACAAAACACTCAGCCTGGGACTTGAAGCCCTTCGACTGGCCCATGGTGCTGGGACTCTCCTCCTAGGAGGAGGCTGTGTTCACTGTCTGTGACTTCCTCATGCTCCCCTCTGTTGGTTTTCATAGATTTCTAGCTGACTCAGGTGCTTGGTATGTAGCTTGGACAGGGGCAGCAGATGGTAGGGGTTGAGGGCCAGGTCCATTTCTCACTTGACTCCCCAACATTTTACAGAGCAAGAAACTGAGGGACTCAGAAGGTTTGAGTGCCTGGCCAGGGTCACAGAGCTAGTCCGGATTAGATGGGATGGAGTGGGGGACTGAAAGGTAGGTGGGCACTTTTCCTGACCTTGGCCTACCTCCCCTCACTCCAGCTATGGAGACATGGTGCCCAGCACCATTGCTGGCAAGATTTTCGGGTCCATCTGCTCACTCAGTGGCGTCTTGGTCATTGCCCTGCCTGTGCCAGTCATTGTGTCCAACTTTAGCCGCATCTACCACCAGAACCAGCGGGCTGACAAGCGCCGAGCACAGCAGGTAACTGCACTTTCCATCCGAGCACCTCCCACTCCCTACACCCCAAGCCAGTCTACTTTGGGGCTTACCCACCTGACCTTTTATCTCCTCTCTCTGCAGAAGGTGCGCTTGGCAAGGATCCGATTGGCAAAGAGTGGTACCACCAATGCCTTCCTGCAGTACAAGCAGAATGGGGGCCTTGAGGTGGGTTGGGGCCTGGATTGGGGTTGCAGTGAGCCATAACAGGGGGAGGAAGGTGCTGCCCTTATTGCTCTGCTCCATCCATTCCAGGACAGCGGCAGTGGCGAGGAACAGGCTCTTTGTGTCAGGAACCGTTCTGCCTTTGAACAGCAACATCACCACTTGCTGCACTGTCTAGAGAAGACAACGGTGAGGCCTAATGTGAGGTGGTATAGCAGAATAGAAAGGGGTCCCTCTGAGGCCATGCCAGCTCTCTCCCTTGGATGGGAGACTCACTACAAATTGTGGAAATCACACAGAGCTTCCTGGAAGAGGCTACAGGAGAGCCAAGCCTTGAAGGATGGGCAAGGGAAGGCAAGAGGGAGCAATTTACAGAAAGGAGAGAACAGCCTGAGCAAAGGTTTGAGGGTGGGATTAGCTCCCATGGGATGCCCCGTGACCCCCCTCCCTTCTGCCCACAGTGTCATGAGTTCACAGACGAGGTCACCTTCAGCGAAGCCCTGGGAGCCGTCTCACCGGGTGGCCGCACCAGCCGCAGCACCTCTGTGTCTTCCCAGCCAATGGGACACGGAAGCCTGCTGTCTTCTTGTTGCCCTCGCAGGGCCAAGCGCCGTGCCATCCGCCTTGCCAACTCCACTGCCTCAGTCAGCCGTGGCAGCATGCAGGAGCTGGACATGCTGGCAGGGCTGCGCAGGAGCCCTGCCCCCCAGAGGTAAGCAGCCCTCCTACCTGCTAGCCACACCTAGGGAAGCTCAGAGCTTACACCAGAAGCTCTGAGATTCCATGACTCCAGGCCTAGCAAGTCAAGCTCGAACCCAAACCCCTCCATACTGGAAGCTTGGGCTTATCTTGTCTGGATCTCATTCTTCATCCATTCTTTTTTTTTTTTTTTTTTTTTTTTTTGAGACAGAGTCTCACTGTCACCCAGGCTGAAGTGCAATGGCGGGATCTCAGCTCACTGCAACCTCCACCTCCCGGGTTCAAGTGATTCTCCTGCCGCAGCCTCATGAGTAGCTGGGGTTACAGGCACATGCCACCATGCCCAGCTAATTTTTGTATTTTTAGTAGAGATGAGGTTTTGCCATGTTACCCAGACTAGTCTCGAACTCCTCACCTCAAGTGATCCACCTGCCTCAGCCTCCCAGAGTGCTGAGATTACAGGCATGAGCCACCTCGCCTGGCCTCTTCATCCATTCTTTCACCAAATATTTATTGAGCAGCTATTGTGTGGCAGGCACAGTTGTAGGCAACTTGGATGTGGCAGTCAATGAACAGACAGAAGCCCCTGTATCCTATTCTAGTGGGATAAGACAGTTAACTTCTATTCTAGTGGGATAGGACAGTTAATAAACAAATACATAGATTATATAGCATATCAAACAGCTGTAAATACCAAGGAGAAAAGTCAGTCAGGGATGGGGGCTAGAAAGCATAGAGCAGGCCAGGTGCGGTGGCTCATGCCTATAATCCCACCACTTTGGGAGGCCAAGGCGAGCAGATAACAGGAGTTCGAGACCAGCCTGGCTAACATAGTGAAACCCTGTTTCTATTAAAAATACAAAATACTAGCTGGGTGTGGTGGTACGCACCTGTAATCCCAGTTACTTGGGAGGCTGAGGCAGGAGAATCACCTGAACCCGGGAGGTGGAGGTTCCAGTGAGCTGAGATTGCACCATTGCACTCCAGCTTGGATAACAACAGCAAAACGCTGTCTCAAAAAAAAAAAAAAGAAAAGAAAAAAAAAAAAAAGAAAAAAAAGCATAGAGCAGGTGGTGATGCAGATTTTTGTTTTTTTTTTTTTTTTGAGACGGAGTCTCGCTCTGTCGCCCAGGCTGGAGTGCAGTGGCGCGATCTCAGTTCACTACAAGCTCTGCCTCCTAGGTGCATGCCATTCTCCTGCCTCAGCCTCCTGAGTAGCTGGGACTACAGGCGCCTGCCACCACGCCTGGCTAAGTTTTTGTATTTTTAGTAGGGACGGGGTTTCACAGTGTTAGCCAGGATGGTCTCAATCTCCTGACCTCATGATCTGCCCACCTCGGCCTCCCAAAGTGCTGGGATTACAGGCATGAGCCACCACGCCCGGCCTTTTTTTTTTTTTTTTGAGACTGAGTCTTGCTCTCTTGCCAGGCTGGAGTGCAGTGGCTCAATCTCGGCCCACTGCAACCTCTGCCTCCTGGGTTCAAGCGACTCTCCTGCCTCAGCCTCCCAAGAAGCTGGGCCTATAGGCATGCGGCACCACACCCAGCTAATTTTTGTATTTTTAGTAGAGACAGGGTTTCACCATGTTGGCTAGGATGGTATCGATTTCCTGACCTCATGATCCACCCACCTCGGCCTCCCAAAGTGCTGGGATTACAGGCATGAGCCATCGCGCCTGGCTGCGTTTTTTGGTTTTTCTTTTGAGATGAAGTTTTGCTCTTGTTGCCCAGGCTGGAGTGCAGTGGTGCAATCTCAGCTCACTGCAACCTCTGCCTCCCGGGTTCAGACGATTCTCCTGCCTCAGCCTCCCGAGTAGCTGGGATCACAGGTGCCCGCCACCATACCCAGCTAGTTTTTTATATTTATATATTTATTTATATATTTATATATTTATATATTTATTTTTGAGATGGAGTCCTGCTCTGTCGCCCAGACTGGAGTGCAGTGGTGCGATCTTGGCTTACTGCAACCTCCGCCTCCCGAGTTCAGGCAGTTCTCTGCCTTAGCCTCCCAAGTAGCTGGGACTACAAGTGCGTGCCACCACGCCCGGCTAATTTTTGTATTTTTAGTAAAGATGGGGTTTTGCCATGTTGGCCAGGATGGTCTCAATCTCTTGACCTTGTGATCTGGCCACCTCGACCTCCTAAAGTGCTGGGATTACGGGCATGAGCCACCGCACCCGGCCAATTTTTTATATTTTTACTAGAGATGAGGTTTCACCATGTTGGCCAGGCTAGCCTCAAACTCCTGACCTTCAGGTGGTCCACCTGCCTCGGCCTCCCAGAGTGCTGGGATTACAGGCATGAGCCACCACTCTCAGTTGGTGATGCAGTTTTAATAGTGTGGTCAGGGAAGGCTTTACTGAGGTGACAACTGAGCCAAGACCTGAAGGAGGCAAAGGAGTGGGCCATGCAGAGGAAGGAAGAGCTTTCTAAGCAGAGTGAACAGCCTGTGCAAAGGCCTTGAAGCAGATGTGGGTCCACATTAGAGACATAGCAAGGAAGCTATCATGGGTGGAGGAGAGTGAGCTAGGGGGAGAGTGGTAAGAGGCAAACTCAGAAAGGAGTGAGGGTCCCACCTTAGATCCTACTGTAGACACTTTGTAAGGACTTGGACACTGTTAGGAGTAACCATGAGAGAACATTTTCATGTGTATGCTCATTGTGTTCCAGACACTGCTCTGAGCACTTCGTAACATTTTCAATCTCATTTAATCTCCACAGCAACCCTATGGGAGATAGTGTTCATTCCACGCTACAGATGAGAGAAGAGAGAGGTTTGGAGTGGTTAAAATAGGACCAGGATTTGAACCCAGGACTGTCTGACTCTAGAGTCCTCACTCTTTACCACCATAATTGGGGATGCAGGAGAAGTACTTACGTACTTAGCACAGTGTCAGGGACCCAGTAGGTGCTCAATAAATGCCATGATTGCTATGGCAAGTATTAAGATAGCTTTTTTTTTTTTTTTTTTGAGACTGAGTCTCACTCTGTCGCCCAGGCTGGAGTGCAGTGGCGCGATTTCGGCTCACTGCAAGCTCCGCATCCTGGGTTCATGCCATTCTCCTGCCTCAGCCTCCTGAGTAGCTGGGACTACAGGTGTCTGCCACCACGCCCAGCTAATTTTTTGTAGTTTTAGTAGAGATGGAGTTTCACCATGTTAGCCAGGATGGTCTCAATCTCCTGATCTCGTGATCCGCCTGCCTTGGCCTCCCAAAGTGCTGGGATTACAGGCATGAGCCACCGAGCCTGGCTGATAACTTTTATTTATTTATTTATTTATTTATTTATTTATTTATTTATTTATTTTGAGATGGAGTCTCATTCCGTCACCCAGGTTGAAGTGCAGTGGTGCAATCTCAGCTCACTGCAACCTCCACCTCCTGGGTTCAAGCAGTTCTCCTGCCTCAGCCTCCCAAGTAGCTGGGATTACAGGCATGCGCCACCCATGCCCGGCTGATTTTTTGTATTTAGTAGAGACCAGGTTTCACCACGTTGGTCAGGCTGGTCTTGAACTCCTGACCTCAGGTGATCCACCCGCCTCAGCTTCCCAAAGTGCAGGGATTACAGGCATGAGCCACCGCACCCGGCCTAAGATAACTTTTTAAGAGCCTTCCATCTTTTCCACAGCCGCTCCAGCCTCAATGCCAAGCCCCATGACAGCCTTGACCTGAACTGCGACAGCCGGGACTTCGTGGCTGCCATTATCAGTATCCCTACCCCTCCTGCCAACACCCCAGATGAGAGCCAACCTTCCTCCCCTGGTGGCGGCAGCAGGGCCGGCAGCACCCTCAGGAACTCCAGCCTGGGTACCCCTTGCCTCTTCCCTGAGACCGTCAAGATATCTTCCCTGTGAGGGGTAGACCTGCCCATTCAGAAGGTCCTCTTCATTTTTGGGAAATCCTTTCCAAAGCCATATTTTTGGGAGGCAGAGAGAGGCAGGCTTGGACACCCCTTCTGCCCCCCTACTGAGAACTATGCAATGGAGTTTCATGAAATGGTCCACATAGTGGGGAAGTAGCCAGGAAATGGGAAACTTCCCCCCACCCCAGACATTTTTCCTGGTGGGAGCTGAAGCACTGGGCTTCCACAGGCACCTGGCCTCCTTGCCCCAGCACACTGGGGACTGGCCCCACTCTCCCAGCTGGACTCCTGCATGCTCCTCCCCTTGGGCTCTCAGTTGAAGGTAAAGCTTTGATCCGATATCTGAGGTCTGGCCTAAGAAGGAGAGTTGAGATTTCCACCTCCCTCTGGCTGGGATATGGAGCTTTGGAGGTTCAGAGAAGAGAACCCTCACCTCTGATCTGGCATCTGATCTGGCCTCTACACGAGGTCCTCACCCTCCATCTGGCCCAACAATTCCCAGATTCTGAAGCTTGGAATGCAAACACAGGCTTCATGGGCTGTGGCCTCTGCAGTGACCTGCCATCCCCAGGCCTTGCCTGAGGGGTCAGGCTGCCTCTCCCAACACACACTCAGATAGCACAAATTCTACCATCCCCTTCCCTGGCTGCTGGAAATGGGACCCCGCAACCCTGTCCTCTGCCGGGCCCCCAGCAAACTCTAGCAATAGCAGCTGCTGCCGTGTCATTATGCAAAGCCTCTGACCAGTTTGCTGCAGCATTTACATCTGCCCTAATCAGAGGGGCCACCTCTAACTCCTCCTCCTCCTCTCTTCTCCTCTGGTTTGCCTCCTTCCTGGGTTGGGCTGGAGTCTGGACTGGCCGAGATAAGAGCCTGGCAACCAGCAAGAGCTGGGCTGTATTTGGAGATCATGGGCTGATTCCATGTTCTTGGGCAAGAGTCCAGAAGCATCAGGGGCTCAGGCCTGGGATGTTTCTGAACTTTGGGAGTTATAGGAGACAGGAGGAACTTCTCCTCCTCCTCCCCTACAATTTCTTTTCCCATATTCCTTTCTTCTCCCTCTTGGGTCACCTTCCAGAACTCTGCTCTCAGGCTGAAATCTGGCATCATCTCAGGTTCTCTGTCCCCAGCACTGTCCCCATGGAGCTGGCGGCTGACAAAGATGTAGTTTCCATCAGTCAATAAAACCTGAGAGGAGAGATGAGGACTGAGTATCTCCTGGCTCTGTGGATTTGGGGGCTGGTTTGGGCTTGGGGGTTGAAAACACTCTGATTTCAATCCCTTTTGGCTAGGAGAAGGGCTGGCATGGGTCAAGGTATGGGAGATGGATGGTTGGTGATGTATTCTGGAAGATGGGGATCCAGGAGAAATGAAAGAACGTGGTTTGAGGAGTCCATCTACAGCCAGTGAGGCAGGCCAGGGGGTCCTGAGACATTCCTCCTTGGATATCATCTGCGCCAGCTTCCTGATTCACAGATGGGGAAACTGAGACCCAGAGAAACACATAGAGGAGACTTAAACCCAGGCTTCCTGATAGCAAACAACTCTGAATTTAACCCTAATAAAAGCATCACTTGGTTTGGTGAATTTCTTTTCCTTATGGATGCCCCCTGCATTCTCTCTTCTGGGCTACTGGCTACACTAGGCTAGTGTGTGGCTGAGTTCTGTAGAGCACTGAGCAGACAGACCATGGATTCAGGTTGATCTGGGTTCCAGTCCCTGGGTGAGAGAATCATTTACCTTCTCTTGCCTCAGGTTGCTAATCTGTGAAATAGGGATAATTCATTTAGTCACCAAATATTTATTAACTTCCATTATGTGCCAGCCCTAGGGATACAAAGGTGGGCAAAGTAGACATTGTCTCTGATGTATAGTTGAGCATGGAAGGCAGACAAGTAATTACAACATGGTGTGGCAGAACTAAGATCCATGGGTTATAGAAGCATGCAGATGGCAGGAGAACTTAACCTGGCCAACACACAAGGAATGAGTTGGAGTTAGCCAGGCAGCAAATCAAAGGATGCAATGTTCTGGGCAGAGGGAACAGCATGTGCAATGACCTGGAGGTTAGAGAGTGAGCTCAGGCCTTTGGGGAACTGAAAGTATTTCAGTCCAGCTGGGGAGGAGAGTGTGGGGCTGAGGAGAGGAAGGATGGAGAGGTAGGCCAGATAACAAAAAGCTTTGACGCTATGACGCGAATTTTGAACTTCATCCTAAAGATAGTGGGGACTTTTAAAGGCTTTTAAACAGAAAAGTCATGATGACGTTTGTGTTTCAGAATGATCATTCTGGCTATGGAGAGTAGATACAGAGAAACAGTCCTGGAAGGAAGAAAAGTAGGGAGGAGGCTTTTATAATAGTTTAGGTGGTAGGGGACAGTGGCTTGGACTAGAGTAGTGGCAGTAGAATTGGAGACTCTAGAGATTTGGGAGGTAGAATTGGCAGGACTTGGGATTGACAGGCATGTGGGAGTTGAGGAAGAGGGAGCAGTCAAGGTTGACTCCCAGGTTCTGGCTTGGACAACGGCTGGATGGGAGTGCTATTCCCTGGTAAAGGGAACATCAAAGCTGTTAGCACTCAGTGCTAGGTACATAGTAAGTACTTGGTGAAGGGTAGCCATGATTACTATCTTGAGTTCAGTTTTAGATGTGTAGTGAGTGAAATATATGGGGCTAGAGTGAGATGATCATGAGAAGATTCAATGTAATATGCATTTGGCACAGAGCCATGAACACAACAGGCCTGGTAAACGTGAAAGTCCCCTCCTCCCATTAAATCTCATGAGCAGGAAACACTACTTAGAACCCATTTATTACTTACACCTTTCAGGGAAGAACTTCAACTAGGGTCAGTATCTGAAGGGAGGCAAGGCTATACTCAAAACAGCTTTCCCATGGTCTCTTTCAGTCAACCTGTTGTATGGCTTGTCTCCTAAGACTGGAAGTGAACTCCAAATACCTTCTTGGTTCATCAGCTCATCTGAACCCCATAACCATTCCCTGAGGTAGTCTGGGCAGGCATTATCATTCCCGTTTTACACATGGGTAATCTCAAAAGCAACACAATGACTTGCTCAAGATCATACAGTTGGTAATGGTCCATCTGTGCCTGGAACTGAGAGGTCTTTCTGGCTCCAAAGCCTAGGATCCTTCCACTGCACCACCATGCAGACTACTTTATTGAACACTTCCTATGTGCTGGGCACAACACCAGGCCCTTCAGAAGCATTAATCTCTGATCCTCAGATTGGAATTATCATTGCCAATTTATAGAATAGAAATTGAGGATGGGTGCTCACTTCGCACCACATATACTAAACTTAGAACGATACAGAGAAGATTAGCATGGCACTATGCGAAAGGATGACACGCAAATACGTGAAGCGTTCTATAAAAAAGTAAACAACAACAATAACAAAAATTGACGGGGTGGGAGTTAAATGACTGACAAAGATCAATCAGACAGGAAGGGCAGAGCTAGAATTAGCGTGTAGCTCTCCAGCTACTCAATAGCAGGGATTCTGCCAACCCCATTTCGAGACGCTGACTGGTGACAGAGCTGATTCATAAACCTCGATCGACCCAAGCAAACTCAGTTTTAGAAAAAGGCTGGGCTTGGCCAGGCGCGGTGACTCACGCCTGTAATCCCAGCACTCTGCGAAGCCGAGGCGGGAGGATCGCTTGAGCCCAGGAGCTGGAGATCAGCCTGGGCAACATAGCGAGACTTTGTCCCTACAAAAAAGTGAAAAAAAAATTAGCCGGGCGTAGTGGTGCGCGCTTGCGGTTCCAGCTATTCGGGAGACTGAGGCGGGAGGATCACTTGAACCTGGGAGTTGGAGTTTGCAGTGAGCTATGATCGCGCCACCGCATTCCAGCCTGGGCGACAGAGTGAGACCCCCGTCTCGATTAGAAGGTGGGGGGGAAGGCTGGGCCGCGCCTGCGCACTAGCCATAGGGCCGGGGAGGTCAACGCGAGGGCGAGAGTGCTGTGGTGCCAGAGAAGGCGTGTCTGTTTCCCAAACCACCACTGTCCCCACGGTGCTTGTCTGTCCCAAGGTTGGTCGGTATGACGCGAGTGACGGCGTCTTTTAGCCAATCACCGCAGAACTCAGGCTGTTGCCGGGGTGAAGCGGTGCCCGCCTCCCCCGGAAGGATATTTGTAGGTGGGTGGGACCGGAAGTGACGCTACAGGGGAATGCTATGCTCTGGGAGTGTTGATGTTTCCAGTCATTCCGGCTGACAGCGTTCAAGTTGGAAGCCTGGAGGGGAGGTGTTTTTCCTGTCGTACGTGGGACAGGCCACGCTGTCCGTCCGCAGTACCGACGACTGCGAGTCAGAGCTTCGGGGAGAAAAGTGAAGAGCAAGACAGGACCGACGGGGAGAAAGGCTAGGAACCAGGGTGTCGACTTTGACTGAAATTTGAGACGGAGGGCACCGGAGGGCGAGCACTCGCCTGTGATTGGCCCGTGGGCGTCGTCGAGGACCCACGCAGCTGCTCAATTGGTTGGTGTTCGCAATTGTTGTGGCTGCGGCGGCGATTTTGCCCACGTACTTCCGAGCAAGGGGCGGGGCTGTGCCCTGGCGCGCGTGCGCAGCGCCCCGGGGCCCCACCCGGTAGTGCAAGAACCTGCGAGGGGGCGGAGCGAAGAGGTGCTTGTTTTGGTTCTGTTTCCTTTGAAGCAGAAGGCCGGAACAAGCGTAGCAATAAATTTGCTGGACTTGGAGAGAAGGTTCCGACAAACTCGCCGCACTGCCTTCATCTTGGACTTTACATCCGGGTTCTCCTCCCGGCGTAACCCGCGCGCCGCCGCCGCCGCCGAGGGTTCTCGAACCGGTGCCGCGATCCCTTTATCCGGGTTTCGCCGTTCCCGTCGTGCTTAGCGCACTACACTAGCCCCCCTCATCCGGGTTCTCTCCCGGCGTGCCTCGCGCCGGGTTTGTTGGGGGGTACTCGGCGGTGCAGCCATGACTATACTCCCCAAAAAGAAGCCGCCGCCTCCCGACGCCGACCCCGCCAACGAGCCGCCGCCGCCCGGGCCGCTGCCCCCGGCGCCGCGGCGCGGCGGGGGTGTGGGCGTGGGCGGCGGCGGCGCGGGCGTGGGCGGCGGCGATCGCGACCGTGACTCCGGCGTCGTGGGGGCCCGTCCGCGAGCTTCGCCACCGCCTCAAGGCCCGCTACCAGGACCGCCGGGCGCACTTCATCGCTGGGCGCTGGCCGTACCGCCTGGTGCAGTGGCGGGTCCCCGGCCACAACAGGCTTCTCCACCTCCTTGCGGGGGCCCAGGTGGTCCCGGCGGCGGTCCCGGCGACGCGCTGGGCGCAGCGGCGGCGGGTGTGGGTGCCGCGGGCGTGGTGGTGGGTGTGGGTGGTGCCGTAGGCGTGGGCGGCTGCTGCTCCGGGCCTGGGCACAGCAAGCGGCGACGTCAAGCTCCCGGGGTTGGCGCGGTTGGCGGGGGCAGTCCCGAGCGTGAGGAGGTCGGCGCAGGCTACAACAGTGAGGACGAGTATGAGGCGGCTGCAGCACGCATCGAGGCTATGGACCCTGCCACTGTCGAGCAGGTAAGAGCTGCGGGATGAGGGGTGGGCGGCTACGGCAGATGGGACCCCCAGACTGTGAAGAGACTCAAGGAAGGCTGTTTGAGATCGCCCCAAAGGATTTAGGCGTTTTCACCGGGCCTGACAGTTTTCTCTGGTGGTAGGGGTGTGAGACGCCTTCTTTCCTCTCCTCCAGAGATTTGGGGCTAGAGGCCTACGATAAGGTGGCAGACTTAAAGATGGGATCCGAGGCCTCTTTTAGGGTCTATAGTCGTCATTTCAGTACTTGGGACCTCATCTTGTAGGACCAATAGGTGGAAATTCTCCAAGAGACACAGGTAGGATCGCGCCCCTCTTGAGCAGGAGTCTCAGGTCTTCCAAAAGACCTAGGTCTGTGTTCAGTGGCTTAAGAGCTCTTTTCCTTTGGGATAGAAGTTTGAGATTCCTCCTCCAGGAAAGTCAAATAAGGTGGAGACCTCAGAGATCGGGTCTGAACATCCCCAAGGAGTCTAAGCCCTTTCAAGAGTCTGAGACACTCTGCATGTAGGACAGTCTTCTCTTGGCTTCGCTAGGTAGCACGGCACAGGACCACTGAATAGCCAGACCTGAGACCTCAAGGGTCCTAAGTCTGTCTTCAGGGGCCTGAGAGTCCTTATTGTAGAATCAAGGTCCTGACACACACACATACACACACATGCCCCCTTTAAGGACAGGGATCTTCTAAGCTTTTTCCAGGGATATAAGATTTTTTGCAGGGAGATGTGATTCCCTTGCCCTTGGGGACAGGGACCGAAACCAACACCCAAGGACCAGCAGCTTTACTTGAGTACAACTCATCCGCTTTCTGAGTGACAAAGGTCTGCATTTCCTATCAGTGGCTGAGACCTACCTCTTCGGAGACAAGGCCCTGAATCTCTTCAGGATCTTAAGCTTCTTGTAAGAAGTGATGGGCCCTCAGCGCCCCCACCAGGGGCCTGAACCTTTCTTTAGGAAAATGAAGACTCACAGCGTTGGATCCTAGGGCCTAAGATCCACCTGCTTATGGACTGAGGTT